TAATTAAATTCAATAACATCTTCAATTTTTTGAAGTAATCGGCTTTTCAGAATGTTGTATTTAAACCCTGAAACGTTGAGAAAACATCTGGGAATCAGATTTAAAGCAAACACCCTTAACGGTTAATGAAGACAATTGATTTAGTAGTACATCCCATGCTGTTATTGTTTTACCTTCTTCTTTAAATAATTTAATCATTTTGAGTGACTCTTTCATGTTTGACTGAAGAACAAATGATATTTGATTCATTTTGTCGTGTATGTTGTAATCTTTCTGAATGAAGTATTTTGTTTCCACAATCTACAAAACGGATTACACGTGATAAATCCTCAATTACTTCAGAACTGTTTTTATACTGATGATTTTCAGCCTTGCGTCTAATATCTGTTATCAAAAACGAGTCATCAAGTTTGATATCAAATGTTATTTTTGGCTTACGTAATAAAGGCAAAACGTATTCATCATAATATTCCTTTTGATATAGTTTTAGAATCTTCACTAAAACAAATGGAGAAGTCATTAAATGTGCATATCTACTACGTGCTTTTTCAAAATTACTTTTTGCATTTTCTGTTAAATTGCAAGAGTTATAAACGTTATCGTATGCTTCATTAATTAAGTGATTAGGTAACGAATTAATAGCTTGAAACAGTGTGAATAATGTTATTTCTTTTTCTAAATTCATGTTTCCACCGTCATTATGTACTTCAAAATCACAGATGCCATCAACTATGCTCTGGGCAAGTTTATCGTCAATGTTTACATCTTTGTTTTCATTCATGATAGTCTTTATTTCTTCGTTCTTCTGTTCAACTCTTACCTTAATATTCAAATCATTTAATATATCATTCACTGTTCTGGTTAATGTTGAATCGTAACTTCCACGAATGAATGAGTATGTATTGATTGGTTCTGATGCATTCTTGCGAACTCTTGAATCAGCCATGACTACTAATGAACGCTTTGAATCATCCATTGAAGTCATTATGTCGATATCATAATCATTGCAGGAATAACATTTAATCATTCTGTTCGAGGTTGAATAGAAGAAATTAGTGTTGCAATAAATGTGAAGACCTCCTGAAGCGGTTTTAACGATAACATCTTTATCCGAAAGTTTTGATAAAATGTCTTTTCTAACTGTTTCTTTAAGTTCTATCATTGTACGATTTATTGATATCAACATCTATAATCGTTAAATTTGAAATTTTAATTTTTATTTACTAATAAAGCCATACCAGTTTTCCTTCCTCTTCCTCCATCATGTTTGAGGTAGTTATGTAAATCAATCTTGTTTTCACCAATTCTTTCGTTGAGGGTTTTAGTTTCTGCCACAACTAATTCCTCAGCTAATGAATCAATAACTTTTTCATCAGAAACGATATAGTTGCTGTTGTTGTTTGTTGCTGTCATTTATATAGGAAAAAAAAATAAAAATAATTTTAAAACTAACTTTATTTTTGGACTGCATCATATTTTCGTAAATGTTGTCAAAATGTCATGTTGTCTCATTTTTTCAGAGAAGTTAAATGACCTGGTAGCACATGGTAACATGGTAGCACCTTCAGTTCTTCAAAAATAATTCATAACTGCCTTCCTCCTGTGTTGTTGTCTAAATGTCATGTTGTCTCATTTTTTCAGAGAAGTTAAATGACCTGGTAGCACATGGTAACATGGTAGCACCTTCAGTTCTTCAAAAATAAGTCATAACTGCCTTCCTCCTGTGTTGTTGTCAAAATGTCATGAGGTTAGAAATGAGGTTAGATCTAACCATCTACCCTAAAAATTATTTTTGGTGAATTCAATAAAAATAAATGGTTCATTTACTCACAATATTTTTGTACAAAACAACCCCAAGCTTTTAACTTCTTTTCTGCAGCTTCTAATGCTATCTTAGCGAGTTCATATTCTCTAAATTCTCTCTTTAAATTTTCTTGTTCCCATTGGTCTAGTTCGTATGGAGAATCTCTATAACCATAACATAACTCACGTTCATGTTCTAATTGTTTTTCGCACATTTTTCCAACTTCTTCTTCAAACAAAGGTTTAGCATTCTCTACTGTATCTTCAAGTTCTTCTTCATCTAATTTCTCATGAACTTTCTTGTCTATGGAGTCCATAATATCTTTGACATAAAATGCATACTTTACAGAGCACCATTCAGCAACAAAATGAACGAGGTCAGGATGTATGTAAATACCTTTGAATTCATTTATAACACCCTTAGTAAGCTCATAAAATGCTTGTTTTGAGGTCGAGCCACTTTTGGCTCCACCGTATTCGTTCATCCAAAACTCAAGAATTTCCTGTATTTTAGCACTATTGAGAAATCTGTTTAAATGGTTTAACTTTCCTGCTTCTCTTGCCATCTTTGTTGCATTAATGTAACCATCCTTGTCTCTACGTAAGACTTCAATACCGTTATAAGTGCCTTTTGTGAATGTTTCGCCATTAGATTTGTTAGTGAATGTTTTTGCTTCGACTGACATTTCTGTTCTTACATACAAAATAAAAAAATAAAAATAATTTTAAAACTAACTTTATTTTTGGGTCATTTACACTCATTCCGATGAAGTCATGACAAATCATTTCCTGTGTTGTTGTCAAAATGTCATGTTGTCACACTTTTTCAGAGAAGTTAAATGACCTGGTAGCACATGGTAACATGGTAGCACCTTCAGTTCTTCAAAAATAATTCATAACTGCCTTCCTCCTGTGTTGTTGTCTAAATGTCATGTTGTCTCATTTTTTCAGAGAAGTTAAATGACCTGGTAGCACATGGTAACATGGTAGCACCTTCAGTTCTTCAAAAATAAGTCATAACTGCCTTCCTCATTAATCCTCCTGTGTTGTTGTCTAAATGTCATGTTGTCACAAACTTTAGAACGGCATAATTTAAATTTTTATTTTTATCATAAATGGATACCCCACAAGCTCAAAATTTACCACGAATCATAACAAGGGAGGAAACGATAAAAATGATGCGAGAACTTGCTAAAAATAACAAACCACTAAAACTGAGCAAATGCGGTTATGCAGTAATGATGGAAAGAGAGATGTTGTCAAAGAGGAATAAAAATTAAATTTGGATTGAGTTTAAAAATTCATCTTTATTAAATTCATCTCTTCCAATCAATTTATTTATTCTATTAAATTCTTTTATTTTTGCTTCACTCAGTTTAAGGATTGAACGGTAAGTTTCTAATTTTTCGATTATTTCTTCATCGTTTTCAGTTCCATTAGTTTTATGGGCATCAACCCCACCGCATTGCGGCTTCTTTTTGTAATAGCATATTTTTGATTTAATTCTGTTTAGTTTCTTTTTATATTCATCGTCTGGACTCTTGACTGCTTCGTTGTCACTCATTTCTTACGAAATAAAAAAATTAAATATTATTTAAATATAATGGAGTAATAAAATAAATCGGAATTTCTATTAATTTATTGTCAACTTCAACTAATACATTACCGTTAATATATCTAACAAATTCAGCTATTGTGTCAAATCTTCGTCTTCTTTTTGTCATTGATTTATCAGTTTTTCCATAATCGAGATGAATCAAAACTTTATCCCCTTGTTTAAAATTCATGAGCCCCGAATTAATTTGTTCACGTTTAACATCATTTAACCTTTCCATTTGCTTTCTAATATATTCCCATTCTTTTGAAATATCATTTTTCATTTCCACTGGTTTCATGTTTATAGTTCTATGCCATGTATTATTGTAATAATATACTAACTGTTGTATGATGGAGTCATGATTTCCATCCCAGTATATCTGACCGTTAACCCCTAACGCATCTCTAAGAGTTCTCATTACTGCATCAACTATTTTATTATGAAACGTATATGGAGAGGATGAAAAGTAAAAATTAATTTGTGGGAAATAATGAGTCATAGCTGCCTGAAATCCTTTATCACCATCACCCCTGATATTATCTACTCTTTCATGATCTAGTAAGTATTGAATAGCTCTTCGTGTTTCCTGTTCTGTTTTCCCTTTCACTGGAATGCAATATAAATATCTAGTGTTAATGTTAATGGCAAATAAATAAGTAACGTTTCCTTTTGAATATTCCAGATGATCGATTTCGTATGAATATGGATATGGAGCAAATGAGGGCGACTAAATTTTTCCTTTAATGGTTGAATTTTTGGGTCAATTGGTTTATTTAATATCTTGAAATCCTTTTTAAAATCTTTTTGTTTCTTTAATGTTTGAAATGGATATAATAAAGTGAATGATGAAGGATTAACTGAAGGAGGAGGCGGTACTGTCGTTGGAGGTTTTGGTGTTGCAAGTGGTTTAATTTTATCTGCTTTGATTTTGGATTTCATTCCTTCCTTCATTAATTCTGGATGTATTTTATTCATTTGTTTTAAATATGCTGTATATAAAGGTTTGATATACTTTCCCGCTTCGAGTTTATGTTGAAGGATGAATTCCAAAAGTTGATCTTCATTTAAAAGTCGGGCTGAATATGGTTTAACTAATGAATCATAAATTAAAGCTTGTGCATCATTTATGGTCTGAAGGACCTGGGTGTTTTGCGGCTCAGGATTATATAATTTATATAATTCATCAATATCTTCTTCTGTTAATACTTTATTTTTGAAATCTTTCAACTGTTTAAGTTGTGATTTAGTTTTTCCCTTTGAATATTCATTATTTTTAATTTTGTCTTTAATTTCAGAAATTATTCTATCATGATATTTCAAAATTTCATTTTTATAATATGGATAATAATAATCCATATCATCACTTGTTATATCTTCATTATATTTTTGGAGATATGATTTTAATTCATAATAAGTAAGAAAATTTTGATTAAATACTAAATCATCAATTAAATTTTTTAAATCTACGTTATCCATTTATATAAAAATAAAATAAATGTTTAAGGGTGCCAGCCTCTTTGAATCATAGTATCAAAACCATCATTAACGGTTCCTTTTGTCTCTTCTGTGACATTTCATTAAAAATAAACTTTAAATTCTTTTAAATAAATGGCATACAACATCCATTTTCACAACATACAGCCTTAGTGTGTGCTCCTGTTAATGCAGTCTTACCGATTGTTAAGCGAGTCATTGACCCATTTTTAAGTTGTAAATTAATATTCTGACCATCAAATATCAATTTATCATTTATTATATCCAAATAATTTTTAGGTGTTAATTGCTTATTTTGCCTTAAACTAACACCTTTCATTTTTTGTGCAATCTTTTTAAAATCACTTCCATCAATTGAACCGTTGAATGATGTATAACACTTAGGGCATAACGCCACCATGTTATCCCCTTGTTTCTCAATTGCTAAACCCAATAACTTCTTCTCATGTGCTTTTTCTTCAGCTTTATTCTTTAATTTAGGTTTAAATTTCTCATCAAAACAGAAGAAATCAAATGGTGCGAATTTGAAAATGTTTTTATCATAAAATTGTTTATCAGTAACAATTGCTTGAAATGCTTGAGTGTTAGGAAGATTTGGGTCGCCAGCGATTGCCCAATAAGATGAATCAGTATCACCTTCAATGAAATGAAAACGATTAACATTCATGCATTTATACATAAAATCATAAATGAAAACCAAATACCAGTATTTTGCGTTATCTAAAGTGAAGAATGCCTCTTGTAAACATGTTTCACATCTATAAAATCTATCTTTAAGCATCACTTGATATGTATCCTCTCCTATTTCTCTTATGTTTTTAAACTTATTTGACATACATGCAACGCGTGACTTCTGTGCATTCATTATTTTAGTCTTTGCGTAATTTTGTGTATTCATTGCATCGTAACCATATGATCCATTAAGTGAAATCTTGCAAAATAAACTTTTTCCTTTATTTCCTTCTAATTCAGCCTTTTGTCTTTCGTTCATAAATTCATTCGCAAATTCATTAAAACAAGTGTTTTTAGTAAATGTTAAAATTGATTGAATATCATCGATGATAAAATGAAATCTGTCTATTAGATACCATAGATAATAAGAAGAAAATGGTTGATATTGGTTGTGTGTTGATGCTAACTGAGTTAATTTTCTCTGTTTCTGGTCAACTGGTAGATTGTTTGATTTCATGTAATTATACATAAAACTGCCAATTGTTTTTTCATCTGTGATAATATCTAAGTTTCTTATTATTGGTAAAAAGTTTATGTAATCATTAATGTATTTTTCATCAATGTGACCCTTTACTTCAGCCACGAATAAAGTATTTTTCTTTCTAATAATTCCCAGTGCTTTTGCTTTCTTTGTTGCTGTATCACAAATGATAACACCATTCAATCTTCCCGGCATATACATTTTATGGTCAGTATATTGAATGAAATCATGAGGATTAGATGAAAATGATGAAGGATATAATGAATTAAAGTCAACTCCAACGAAATGAGTCATAATGTTGGTGGTGTCCTCATTTGATACAGTTTTAGTTTCTGGATTATATGAAAGTTTATTAATGTGCGTGATTCCTTTAAGATTAACACGATGTTGAACATTTGATAGACCACCAGTAATTCCATTACGGAGAATGTATAAGCTTCAACTGAATCTAAAGTCATTGGTAAATTATTTTTTAATGTGTAATTTCTTAAATTGATTCTTAAAACGTTGAACATTTCATCTTTATTTGATTTTACGACATTGCAATAACAACACATTAACTGACAATTTTCTTTGGTATGTGGTTTTTCATTATCGATTCTATCCAATGTTGGTTTATTTGCATATGTAAACGCTTTACCACACATTTTGCATTTAGAATGAAAGATTAAATCGTGATAGTATTGAAATCATCCATTGAAACATTGTTTTTAGTATCTCTTTTCGCCTTTTCATCTTGTTTCTTATATGATTCAATTTTATATTTCCAATACTTTTTCGTTAATTCAAAACTTGATTCCACATTTTCTTCTTCTGGATATGTTTCGTTAGGATTGAAGTTCTTATATGCTAACGCGTAACGAATCATTGAAGCATTCGATGATAAAGAAAGATTATGAAGCATATCAATTTTATAAACAAATGTTTCTTCAATAATTTTATCAATTGGGTCAATCATAATTTCAACATCTTTATTGCAATAATGAATAAAATATTCTAATCTATTCTTAAAGTTTTTAGCATCATTGAGATATATTTGATAATCTGAATCGGATATTGTTTCTTGTGTTAATGCTGAATAAAATGAATCTTTCGTGAATGGTTCCTTTATATAATTCTTCTTCGTAATTTTCCCATGTGATGAATTGATAAGGGAAAAAGGATTTAACACGTGATTTATTGTTTCCGAAATCTTGAGTGAATTGGTCTAATGTTCCACCCGCTATATAATTTCTGATGTCAATAAATCTCAATTCATATGGAACGTTTGTTTTCTTTACAATGATTTGCTTAAATTGAGAAGAAGAACCCAGCATTGATTTTATCTTCCATTTTGCAGTATTTAAATCACGAAGAATTAAATTTAAATCAAACTTTCCCGAATTAAAACCAATGATATTCACTTTATTAAATTCTTCATCTAAAAGCTCTTTCATTGCTTCCTTTTGTTTCTCATTTAATGTATTCATTAATTCTTCATATTGTTCAATATTTGATTTAGCAACTAATGAACAGGTTGAAAATAAAAACTCAATCCAATCAGAAATAAAAGAATCACTCGAAGTTAAGCAAAAATTCCTCGTAAATGTTTTATCACGGTCTACGTCCTCACCGCTTTGCGGCTTTATTTTGACAGTTGATGATACCATAAATGGTTTTAAGTAAGCGTTCAAAGTTGCACATTCAGAAAGTTGAAGTTCTTCTTTAGTCTCTAATGTTTCGAAGTCAAAAGTAATATAATATCTTGTTGGTTTATAATATTCCTGCAAATTATGTGCTAATAGCCATTGATATATCTTCTGTTTCGTAATATGTGGTGCATATGGTTGCTGTGTCTTTTGCAATTGAACGTCTTGAATTAATCTTCCATTATTTTCTTTACATTTCTCACAATGTTTTAAAAATCTTCTTTGGTTTTTCCTTTCTGGATCATCACGGATAGAATAAACTTCTTCTTTACAATATGGACAAACTTTATAGCCGGTGAGTGCTTCAACGTCTGTTATTCTGTCAGCGTGAAGTTTTCCACATGGACTCTGTGTTAATAAAATATTTACTGTTTCAAATTCTGGATCTATCATTATTGAATCCACTAATGGAAAGTCTACCTTATTTATGTCCACGTCTTCTGGTTGAGGATCACAATAATAGAAATCAATATTAACATTTAACATTCTCGCTAATCTCTCACTTTCTGATGAAATGTCAAACCCTTCATATGCATCTATTGCTTCATTTAAATAGCTTCTACGAGTTTTAGGATTAACACCATCAGGAATGTTATAGAAGCGTTTAAATAACCTTCTACCTTCGGCTCTTATTTGATTATCATTCATTTTAGCTGTTCCGTTTTTGTTCATTTATGTAAGAATAAAAATTAAAAAATAAAGTTTATTCTTTAAAGCCCATAAAATGAATTAAGAACACATAAATTTTTATCATCTGCGACGTGACGAATACATTTTAATTTACTCAAGAATGTGTACCCTGATACATTAAATCTAATTCCTGTCTTATTTAATTTCACAACTTTGAAAAGGAATGTATGAATAGCTATAAAATGATGAGAAGATGTTTTATGGGTTGCTTCCATTTTTTCTGAAATAAATGAATAAATATAATGTTTATAAGTTTTCATATCTTTTATGTTCTTAATAACGAATGGTATAGACCTTTCCACTTCATCTTCCTTCGGTGCTGTTCTTTCATATGAAACATTATTAGTATCTTCAACAATGAAACCGCAATCACACAAAATTTTATAGGTTCCAATGGTTTCTTTTGATATTTTATCTAATAAATCAAAAACTTTATCAACACCTGTGCATTTATTTAAATAATAATTTGTGTAAATATCATGATCTTCTTTCTTAATCGTATTAGTTGCATATGTCACGTTTTTAAGAGCTTTTTTGAATTTCTCAGAATCGAGAGGGGGTGAAAGTAAGATACAAGGGTATTCTTCTTTATCAATAAATTGTAACTTATGTTTACGAATAAATTTAATACCTTCTTCCGAAAGTGTTTCATCTATTTCACCATCTAATAAATTTTGTGTTGATTCTAAGACATAATTTTTATATCTTTCTTCATGAGATTTCTGAACTTCTGATTCTGAAGCTGGGATATTCATTAAACCCTCTACTTCATTTTCATTATATTTTTCAACTTCTCTTAATTCCTTAATTTTTTCATCTATTTCATTTCTTAATTGTTCCAATTTCTCAATCTCATCGTTATAATATTCATCTTGTTTAATTTTTTCTTCAAAATATTCAGGAGGTGTTTCAAGGCTCTCTGAGCCCAGGTCCTCTGGACCATAAAGAGGAATATTCTCCTGTTTTTCAACTTTTTTGGGATATAAATATCTCATTATAGCCTTTTTAGTAATTGGTCCGTTATATTTAAATTCATTCAACAATCTGGAAAACTCTTTCACATTCTGCATATATGTTGGATAAGAACCGTCTCCAAAATTTTCTAAAATATTTTCTAATTCTGAATTAGTGAACTTTAAAGATTTCAATGAATTAGTTGTTATACTCATTTATTATAAAATAAAAAAATAAATTTAACTTAGTTTTAATTTTACGTAAGAAGTCAATTTTTTATCTTTTATTTCATTATGGGCTGAGTGTAAATGTCTTACAATTTTGAAAATTTTTAAATCTTGATTTATTCAAAAACGTAAGAATAAAAACCGTAAGAATCATACATTTTTTACTTCATATGTTAAAAAAAATGATACAAAATCGTTCAATATTGTATGAATTCTTACGTTTACAAAAAAAGTCACACAACCCTTCAACATATACTACTTTTAGTAAAATTAATTTTAATTTAAGAATTATCAGAAAGTTGTTAGTGAATATATAAACAACAAGCAATTTGTCTTGCATTTGTAAAAAAATAATTATTTTAATTTTTATGTTTTATGAGTTACGACTAATCTCGTATTTTAAAAACAACATACAAATGACTAAGCGATGTGGAACAGTTGGTTTAGTTCGTAAGGCTCATAACCTTAAGGTCGCTGGTTCGAGTCCAGTCATCGCTCTTTTTATATTTTTTTCAATTATAAAAAAATTCAACATGATTTTTTCTCAATTAAATTTGATTTCATTCATAACACTCAATACAATGATACCAAAATATTGGAACTGTTTTCTGTCAAATATTCTATACAATAGTTTTTTTTCTGAAAGTGTAAATATTACAATTGAATAATTTATTGAATTCTTAAAAATCGCTCTTCGATATCCTTTTGTTATTTGCACAATTTCTTCATTTTTTATATGAGATTTTTTTCTTAGTAACTTCTCAAAAATCATTTTTTTTCTCCCCTCAAAAATATAATCTATCGTTAACATCAAATGATTAGAATCCAATATACTATTACTTTTATCATTTATTTGCAATAACATTATTTCAAAGGATTTTCAAATCCTAACTGTTTTGAATAATTATTTTTCTTTAAACTTCAAGGCTCCCAATTATCAATATATCTAATTCAATTTGTTTCTAATTTCAATACTTTCAGAAACATCATGGGTAGCATCGGACCGTATACTGTGATCGATCCTATTGGCAGAGGTGTTTCCAGCACAGTCTATGTTGCACGAAATACAGATACAGATGAAGTTGTTTGCATTAAAGTTATTCCAAAAGCAGAAAAAGAAAAATGTTTTCTTGATACTGAAATAAAGGTTTTACCAACCCTTAATCATCCAAACATTGTTAAGTTTATTGACTTCTTGGAAGATTTGGAAAATTATTACTTAATTGAAGAATATTGCAATGGCGAAACCTTAACTCAGTTTGTTGAAAGCGGAAAGCTACTTACTGAACGATCCATACTTAGCATAATGCAGCAACTATTCTCAGCACTTATGTACATTCATGCAAAAGGTGTTAGTCATAGAGATCTCAAGCCCGACAACATCATAATTATTGATTCAAGTAACATCAAAGTGATCGATTTTGGACTCTCAACAGATGATAATTCTTCACTTCGTTCCACATTTTGTGGTTCTGTGGCATTCGCCTCACCTGAATGCATAAATCACCAAAAATATGATGCCAAGGCCGCTGATATTTGGTCATGTGGTGTCATATGCTTCTATCTTTCCACCGGCCAGATACCATGGAAAGGAAATAATATTGTCCAATTAATGAGGAGCATCAGTGCAGTTAACTATTATATTCCTAACTCTATTTTAATACCAATTAAGAGTATAATTACTCAGTGTTTATGTCTTGATCCCTCAAAACGCCCGACAGCCGAAAAGTTATTAGAGTCGCCATTTTTATGCACAAAAGGCCGTCGCAATGCACGTTTAATTCGAGTTGAATTATCATGCGGTCAGATTCCGAGGTTATCAGTAATACAACCCCCAGTTGTTGCTAGAAAAGCACCAAGAAAACGCCCAAAGATATATTCTGTATAGCTTTAATGATATTATTATATATCTTTTCTCGTTCGCATTATAATTTTTTAATTGTTGATAATTTTTGATTAAAAATTCTTTCCCTTTAAACAAAAAGTAACCAATTAAATAAAGATAGACAACGGAATATATTTATTATATAATTTAAACATATATTACAAACAAATATTAAAACACCAATATTTTTGTATTTTGATCTTAATTGAAGTAAGTCTGCTTGTGTGGAATTACTGCATCTCCAACAAGTTTTCCATTTTCAGGAGCATCGAATGGCTCAGATCCATCTTCAGAAAGGTGGACTGAGATTCTTGCACGAGCTGGAATTGATTGTTTGTTTGGAGATTGAAGCTGAAATTCAGTAGAGACAACAGAATTTGGTTCGAAAGCATTAAGGCTAAGTTCAACTTCACCAATTTCTTCATCTCCTCCAAATAAATGCTTCTTGAAGAGAATGAAGACGAAGGATGATCTTGATGGATCATTGTATCTGAATTCCCATGTCTTGTCTGGGTGGCTCCTTTCGTTGAATTCGGCTGCGTGACCCATGAAATTATTTCTTGGTCCAACACGTGCAACTAATGTGGTCTTGCCTGATGTCTTGAAGCTACCAGTCTGAACACCATCGATACGAATATAGGCACGGTTGCCATTCATGAGAGGAACGTATTGGAAGTTACTGCGCATCAATATTAAAATGATGACCTAGCGACTATTGAAATTTTCAGAGTCCTATCAATCGAATTTTCAGAATGAAATAGGTCATTGATTTGAGAACCTTAAATAACCTATATGAATACTGTGTCTTATCCTGCACTTCGCACAATTCAAAATAGTTCAAATAAATGCCTCGGTCTCAAAATTCTTTCAAAATGATTTGAAAAGATTTCATTGGTTTAATCGTACACATCCAAAAAATCCTAATATAGTGCTAGTTTTTATTACAAAATCATTCTGATAGACGCATAGGAGTGTTCCTATGAAGTTATTTCATAAACTCAAATAACGTGAAAATATTCGTTGAGCCAACTTTAATAAAAACATAATATCACTAGAATCCTTTTAGGGACTATTACACTTTTATTCGTTTAACCCCGTAGTCAATTTTTGATTTCTGGAAATTAAAACGTTTAGAACTCATTTCAAGGAAATTCCATATGATTATAGTAGAGATCGCATACAGAATTGTAAATATACTATTTATCTGTTGAACCGAAGGTAAATTTTTCATTTTGTAAATAAACTAATTAACTTTATTAAAAACAATTCAATAACATAGATAAGTACTGTAGTACGATGAACGGCAATTATTTCTGTTCTTGGTTAGAATTATCGGTAATTGCTTTTTTACTATTTTCTTCCTGTTTTTTAGCGAATATCAATTTGAAATGGCTTAGATCTAGTGTTTTGGGCAATGCTGTTGGAGTAACAACTCTAAATCTTTGTCTAAGTAGATGGACGTAAGTAGGACCAAAATATGCACCGTCGACAATGTTAAATATTGATGAAGGTGCTTCGTAGACATCGTTGCAGTTGGGACAATAAAGTTTCATTGTTGATTCACCTAAAACTTCTGATTCTCCGTATGGTAAGCAGTAGCATCCTTTGCAAAGATACCTAGGACATTTTGGAAATATTTTGGTCTCGCGCTTTTCTTTCATTTTCTCGCAACCATCATATGTACATAAATATCTTCGATGAATTGCTCCGTATAATTTGATAGCACATTTTAATTCGTAGTGACTATAGTTCGGTTCGTAGAATTTTGTTTTTTTAATCATTTTCATAGATTCTGCATAATTTCCTATTTTATCTTTTAAGCCGTAAAAGTTAAATGAATCATCCAGGTAATATGGATCAACTTCTATCATGTAACTATATGCTGGATGAGAAATAAGCCATTGAGCAAAGGAAACACTCATAAAGCAACAAAAAAATTGGCCTAACTGATAAACAATAATAATCAAGCCAACGAATCGATTCATTCATTCTATTCTATTTTGAAACCATATATGATCAAAAAAATTGAAAAGAAATCAAGTTAGCATCTTTTCTAATTCAGATCAGTTTGACCGAGAAAGATAGCACGTATTTTCTACCTAAACAATATGGAAACATCAGAAACCGCATCAGCGCATGAAATTTCATAATATTATTGGTTTTATTTTAATCAAGTCCATTAACTCTTCTCAGCAGCTAGTTACTTTATTTATCACCAAAATGCATGCAAGTACCTGTAAATAACAGGAAAACTAACATGTAATAATGATAAATCGTCAATTCGAGAGGTAATAGGTACATTACATATCAGATAACTAATGGTATTCAATATAAAAATGATTGAAAAAACATAAAAACCATGCAATTTGAGAAAAATCATATTATGAAAGAATTTTATATTTAGAAATTAAATACTGCTGAGAATTTATAAGCATAGTCATATGCGGCACATTTTGTTTCATATAATTAAGATAGAATTATAAGATATTGATTCGAGTGGGAAAGATTCCACAAATTTTGTTTGTAAGTGTTTGTGTAATTTACACTGAACTATGTTTTTAAATGAAGTTATCTAGAGCCGAGAAATATCTTTTTTTCAAAATCGAACATGATCTGAAAGACTGGGAAATTGGGAGTTTGAGAATAAAAACTCGTGCTCAATTTTTAAGAACTGTAAATTTTAATTTGTGTATTTTATTAATTTCTAAGGAATACAGAGCTACTTGTGGATCAGACCTTTCAATAGAATTGAATAAATAATTATCAAAGAACTAACAGCAATAGAGAGAAACTGTTCTTGTTCCATAAAAATCGTTTTGAATTTTTTTTCAAAAAGATTTTGAGGAATTTTTTATAAACCATCTAACTCAACTTATAGAAGAGGTCTGATTAATTATAAATACGTTTTTTAGTCAGAATTTTCAAATGAATATCATTTTGTGTATCTTCTGAAAATAATTTATATACACTTTTAAAGACATTCTGATAGTAAATATACATTTTCCAAAATCATATTCAGAAAAACACTTATCAATTCTCTCAATTCAAAATTATTACTCAAAGTATACCATCATTCTATTTATTCCGAATTATTCAAGTTATTAATAATTAACGTTTTTAAAAAATTTTCAATTATTCTCTCGGATTAATAAAAATGAAATCAATGAGCAATTCCTTCCATTCATCATCCCCTGATAGGTCATTTTCAGACACTACAACATCATCGAAATATGAAGGTCTCATTGAGCAAAGCAAAGGGAAAATTGTGATCCGTCAAATTCAAAATTTATTGAACTACATGGATTCAATTATTCCACCATATTATACTTTACATCAAGTAGTCACCATGTTCTGTGCCTTTCAAATGTATGGAATGTCCTTTCTTTCAAATCTCGATACTTTATATGATCGAAATGACGTAGTTTATAAGTTTTTCAACTATTTATCGATATTATGGAACATAACTCCAATTAAATATAGAGATGAATGCTCATTTTACATATCAATCGTATATTTCTTCTTTACATTTTTCTTTATAATCGCTATGCTCACATCTGCTTCTTATTATGCTAAAAAGGGCTCGTTAAATGTTGTAATAATGTACATTATTTACCTATATATGGCCATTTTTGGCTATGTTTTGCACGGACCATGTTTAGAGTCATGTTTTGAAGTGATTAGCCGAATGGCAATGAAAGAAGAAACGTACTATTCAAAGGGATTTAACATAGCAACTATAGTTATTACCTTGGTTACCTTCGTTTCTTATTACATTTTTTATAGACAAATTTATTCATACTCGTTCATCTTTAGACAAACTGCATTCTTGTGCATAAGTGGTAAACAACAACAAATTATCATGCAAGTACTGTCTTTTCAATCATTATGCGTCGGATTAATGACAAGAATACCGAAAGAAGCACAAACAGCCTTTTGTGTTGTCGGAATTATAGCGATTATATACTCAATATTCCGTGTGACTCTAACACACTCATTAGTTTACATGTGGCAGTCAGTTATGTTTATGTCATTTACAATTTTCGGAATTATATCATATGTAGCGCATGTTATCATGATTATGCTTGATTACAAGATTAATGTACCGGCAATTTTCATCCATTTCTTCGTAATTCTTGCTGTCGATCTAATCAGTCACTTTTACATGAAATATTTAGTCAAAAAAGCCATGGTTGCATTGGATAACGTGTATGAAAAAAAAGATTTTTTGGAGCAATGCACGAATCACAGGAAATTGATGATTTATTCCATTCTTGGATTCCAATTTGCACATCCAGCAAGTTTAGAATTCACTGTTTTCAAATATATAACTGACAAATATCCTTATGAAGCGAGTTATTGGCTTATTTATGGAAAGTTCGTTGCCATTTATCCAGAACTTAGTGATACATTATCTTTCATTGTTAGAAACATGATAGGATACAAATTAAAAGGTCTTGCAATCAAACAAGCGATTGCACAAACAAAAATCATTTTCCAACAAAGAGAAACAAATTTGACAGGTGATCTCAAGAAGAAATTAAACAAAATGGCTAAAGAAGTATCAGACATAAAGAGAACAATCAGAAGAATATGGGATCAAGTCATCCAAGGAAACGCAAATGAAATGGATAACGCAGTTGCAAGTTCATATAAAAAGACACAAGAAACTGATGCACATTTCAATTTATTAAGAATACAATTGCCAAACAACAGATTCCTTTATAGATCATATGAATCATATCTCAGGGAAATAAAGAATGATCTCGCAGGCTTCCAACAAACAAATGAACAATTGAGACTCCTTGCAAGAGGTATAAGAGTTCATCCTGATCACACACAACTTTTAGGTTTAAGAACTTTCCCTAATTTACCACAAATTTTACCTTCATCTCAATCTATAAATCCTCCATCACAAAACAGTGAAATGAGTGAAAACTTGACATTCGCTGAAGACATAGATGATGAAATTTATGCCAGAAATTGTGAAGAAAACAAAATGTTGGCAGATTTAATAGAAAATCTTACAATACCAAGTCTCAAGAATTCAAGGATATTTATTATTGTTATATTCGTGTTTTCTATGGCTACAGGAATTGTTTCTTTTGCTTTGTTAGCGAGATATAGAAAGAGAATCAATTCACCAAAGAAAATGCAGTATGCAACAGATTACGCCAGATTTTATGTTTCTTCAAGTATAACATTGTGCCATTTGTATATTCTCAAAGTACTTAATTTAGTTCCATGGAAGGAAATAAAGATGAAATACTACAACAGTGAAGAAGACTTGAAAATGCAATTGAGGTATTGTATTTCGCAAGTTATTAATTACGGAAAATCCCTTTCTGACTTGAAAATGAAAGAACTTGATTCTTACATCAAAAATGCTAATGATTGTTTGTTTGAACCAACAAATAAATTCACTTATGTTGAAAAAGATTTTTCAACAAAAACACAAACAATTTCATTAACTGATGCAATGAATACAGTTGTTATGAGATTGGCTGAAATTGTTGATTTAAATGATAACGAAATCACAAGATTAACATTGCTTACACCTTCAATTATGACACCAATGGTCAACAAATTTGATTTAACTCTTCAGTTCATTAGTGCTACTGATAATTTGACAGAACACATTAACAGCGAAGTTACAAAAGAAGACAAAGTTTTGAGATTGATTTCATATGGTTTCATTGTTTTCTTTGTTATTATTACTATTATCATGGCTTTGTTTGTTTATTACAAGATAAACCATGACAAGAAAATTGTCTACAGAACTCTTATGGCACTTCCTAAAAATGTTGTAAGTCAAATCAACGAAGGATTAAGAATAAGAAAAAGCGGCGATGATAGTTCAAGAGGAAACAATTTAACGAGCCAAGCGAATATTGCTAATGAATTGGAGTATTCCAAACAAGAAGAGAACATGATAAAAGTCTTAGTAAATGCAGCAGATGAAACAGATTCAGCTATGACAACAATCAATTCAATTATTACTTGTTTACTTGTTTTCTTAATTATGTCAGTAATTTTGGCAAATTCTTTGGCCCAAATTTTCATCGAACAAGGCGATGCAATCAACCAAAACGTCCAACATGTTGATAACTTGATGACAATTGGCAGCTTGTATCATAACATGTTTGCGGAATTTAATGATATCACTGCAACTTTCCTTGGATATCCAACAAATGCTTCAGTAAATATGACAGCAAAAATCAATAGCATGCAAGATTACCAAAGTAAGTTGAATGATTATTATAACTGGATGAGATACGGATATAAGAATGCTCTTCCTTATCCAGATTTCTCTAAAATTGTATCTCAATCTATTGAAAATGCTGGCTGTAATTGGAATGTTATCTTTCAGACAGTTGAAGATGGATTTAACTGCTTTTCTCCTGATGTTTTGATCAAATATACATATTATTTGACTCATTCAATGATTGATGCAGCACTTGTCAGTAAAAAATTTACAGGAACACCATTCATCAATGCAAGCAAAGTTGCTTTAATCAACAGAATATATTTGTTCAGATTGATTGATGATTTCATTTTCCCAGGTGCAGAACAAGTTGACGAAAAAGTCAATAAAATTGTTATTTCTTCTTTCCCAATTTGGGGAACATTGATTATTGTTACAGTCCTTTCTTTCTTGGTTATTCTTATAGCTATCCTTTTATTAATCAAACAGATAGAGAACAGATTAAGATACGCTTTGAGATTACTCCTGAGTTGCCAACCTTCTTATGTAACTCAAAACGGTTTTATTATGACAGTTTTGACAGGAAATTTCAAGCAAAATTCAAATGATTCTTCAATGAGAGGTAATGAATTCTATGACACTCTCGTTGAAGATTTACCGGATTCAATTATAGTTACTAATGGACAGAACTACAAGATTGCTTCAATGAACAAAAGCGCAAAAGAATTGTTCAAAGGAGATTTAGTTGGATCTTCATTGAACGAATACTTGGGATCCACAGATTTCTCTCCAGAAAGTAACAGCAAACTCCAGAAACTCTTTGATTTCAATACAAAATCCGCACAATGCGCTGTGCAATTCATGAAAGGTGATGTAGATAAACAATTTTTACTTGTTTCAAAGACATCAGCTTTGCAAGGTGACAGTTATATATTCATTGTAAGAAACAACACACAATCATTCATGTACAACAAATTAATCACTGAAGAAAGATCTAAAAGTGATCAATTGTTGGCAACAATCTTACCAGCAACGTTAGTTCCAAGAGTGCAAGCTGGAGAAAAGAATATTTCTTTCTCTGTTCCTTCGGCAACAATTTGCTTCATTGATATTGTTGAATTCACCCCTTGGTGCTCTTCAAATTCAGCACAAGTTGTAACAGGAACATTGAATAACATTTTCACTGAATTTGATACAATCGTTGCTTCTTTGCCTGTAATGGAACGTGTCAAGTGCATTGGAGATTGTTACATGGCTGCAGGAGGTATCTTCGCGGATACTCCTAATGTTTTACAGTTCGCAAGATCTTCTGTTGATTTCGGATTGCAGGCAATCGACGCGATCAGGAAAATCAACGAAAAACTCGGAATGAGTCTCCAAGTAAGAGTTGGTTTGCACATTGGAGGTCCTGTTGTTGCTGGTGTTATTGGAACAGGAAAACCAACATTTGAGATATTCGGACCGGCTATTTCAATGGCACAACAAATGGAACATAATGGAGTTCCAATGAAAGTTCACGTTTCTAGGTCTATTTATGAATTGATTTATGGCGGAACTTATAAGATCGAAGAAAGAGGAGAAATCCAAATCAAACAGGGAAAAGTTTTAACTTATTTAGTTACTATGCAATAATTTTTTTGTATGATAAATATATTATTTTTTATAACCAATTATTTTTATTACAATGCCAATAAAATGAGTGAAATTTCAAATTAAAAAATGCCATTTAGATTATTAATGATACATAGTCATTACATTAACTTTTACGATCAAATACAATGATAATTTTGTGATTTATTGAATTATTACAAATAATTTTTAAGATTTAATGGTTATATGGCTGACATATTGAAACATAATACAGACTATAAGAAGTAATTAATGTTCTTCAATAAATTATTCATATTAAGCTATTTGAATATCTATTGTATTAATTCTTATCAACAAAATTACTTTGCACCATGTGAAATAAGGAGTTCAGATATTTCTTTGCTATTTTTATCTACAGCATAGCGAAAATCCGAAAACTACTTAAAATGTTGTCCGATATAAAAAAATTGGGGTGATTGAGGGGGAATGATGCGAAAATTATGAATTGAGGACTATAAGCATATCAAACCATTTTATTACATTGAAAGGAAGGAAAATATAATAAAAAGAATGTAAAGTAAAGAAAAATGAACGAGAATTATTCTATATAAAGAATTTTTACAAGAGGGTATCGTAAGTATGAAAAAATATACAATAAAAAATAAAATAATATTATTAAGCGCGTTGGAAGTTCTTCTTCGAACGAGAAGACTCTCGAGGAGCTATGTATGGAGAAAGTTTGATATAGAATATGATTGAAACGAAAATTCCAGCAACAATTCCGACTCCCATAATTACAATCAAAGCTTGGTCTTCTCTGAGCTTTGTATCCATGAAACGTGGTATATTGTTTACCTGGATCGGAATCATTGATGCTGGGCAGAGATATGTGTTCAAAACTGTCATTGGAATCAAAGTAACGTTATCTCTGACTGTGCAGCTTGCTGTTAGTATCCTTTCGGCATTTTCTGGTGCGCTTGAGAATATACAGTTAATAAATGTAATTTTGGCCGCTGGTAGAGCTTTTGATGCATCTGGCTCGACTTTGTTGATAATTACGCTGTTAAAGACAGAGAGATCGTAGTTTTCAACGCAAATTAAGCCGGATTTAACTTCAGTCTTCTTTTCTTTAATCAAATTAAGTCCATTTATGATATGATACGAAGCAGCCTTAATTATAATGGCAAATGGAGTGTTGTCCATATCGTAGATATTATTATCGAGCTTGATAAGCTTGAAATGTTCACATAAGAGGCAGCATTTAGGCTTAGAATCAATTGATTGGGAACGAGAAGAGTTTACTTGAGCTACAGCACATCTATCAGTCTGGAGTACAATGTCTGAGGATTTGCAACCTGCAAATGTAGATAGCGAAATAATTGAATTATCTCCGCCGTCAGTCTTCACACCACACTCTGTTGATACGCATTCTATGAAGCACAAACTTGATATAACATTCTTCTTGGTACGTGTGAATATAATTGGGTACTGGCTGACTTCACATTTCGTAAAAGAAGATTTCGAAATGAAAAGAGGACGAGTTGACTCAATGTAAATTACTGGACGGTTGCTTTTGATATTGACAAAGTGACAGTTAGTAATTTCTACAGGGCTGTCAGATTCTTCTTGAAAAACTAATTCAATCGTAGTTGTTGTGGTAATCGTCTTGCTAGCCAATGCAACACTTCCAGATAGGCTGTTAGAGAATTTAGATGAATGAATTTTGAATGGTAAAGAGCTATAAATAATTGGAGAAAATTGGCGTGAAAATGAGCAGGATTTGAGTGAGAAAACCTTATGTCCTGACAAAAGAGGAGACATAGAAAGCGATCTCTGTGAAATCAAGTTCAAAATTGTTGTATTTATTGCCATTTTAATATTTTTATCACTTTTTCATTTCTTAGAGAATGTTAGTTTCTTTTTGTTCTTGTGAATATGCTATATGATTAACACGCTGTTTGGTTTTTCAGCTTAAAATGCATTGTTTATATAGAATATGCTAAAATATAAGATGATTCAACACAGAACAACCACATTTTTAATGCGGATACTCCAATATAGTAAATCCATATGGTTTATTTGAACAAAGAGCAAAATTTAATTTCTGCAATTGTAGAGTGAAAAAAACAATAGTCTATTTTGATCAATTGAAATATATTCAAGCATATCTACTTCTCTTTGTATTATCACACAATTGATGCGAAATCCTTTTTGCATTATCCCATATAATACAACACAGAGATCTCTAACTCTTGGGTTCAGCTGGTTTCTTTTGTGTATAGCTTAATTTTAAATATTTTGAGATTAGAGGATAAACATTCTTTCAAATGAAGATTAATTTTGAACAGAGTGCTGTTTACAAAATTTAATAGTAACTAGAATCCTCAAAAGGAGCTAAATTGATCAGTAATAGTACTTCAATGAATTGCTTTTGTGAAATTTTTCATTTCACTTTTTATGAATCGAGAACTTGTAGACAAATTAATACAGTCATATAGTGATTATGACAAGCTAGTATCTGGGTTGTACAGACTAAATACAATTGACGAAAACGAAATCACTAAAATCTACGAAGATATCAAAAAAATTTTAATTGAATCTAAAATAAACTCTCCATCACAGGTGATAATATTACTTGAAACAGCAGCAACATATAATAATCGATATTTACGATCATATTGGAATATTTGCAAAAAGATTTTTGAAGAATTCCATCCATCCTTCATCAATGTTTCTGCTACTTTTGATTACTTCTTTTACAAGGAATATCAAATTGTTTTTAGAGAAAGTCATAGAAAAAAATTCAAGGAATTTGAATCCAAAGGATATTCTTTGGATCTTCATGGAGAAAACTCTATTTACAGAGCTATCATGAATAACGATCTACAGTCACTTATACCATTAACAGAAATGGATGGATTTAATATAGATCAAACACTCAAATGCGAATTTTATCCAAAAACAAAAGAAGGATCTTCATTTCTGGAATTATGCTGTTATCACGGATCAGCAGATTGTTTTAAGTATTTTAGATCAAAATTCAACTCTGAAATCACGGAACAGTGTTTACGATTTTCATTTTTAGGTGGAAATTCTGTAATAATGATCGAATGTTTGAAATATATAGTTCCTGATGAAAAATGTATGGATTATGCAATTATTTCACATAATATTGATTTTGTGACATATTTAATGAATGTAAAAGAGTTGGGAATATATCATTATATGTGCGGATTTCACAGGAATATCCATTTGTTCTTTATGTGCTTGAGTCAAGAAAAAAATTTGCAAAGATCATTAGTTTGCTCTATATATTTCAATATTTTGCCTCTCTGTCAACTTCTTATTTCAAACGGTGCAAATATTGCTGAACAAGTTGATGGATTATCTGCTCTTCATATTGCTGCAGAAAATAATTGTAAGGAAATTACAGAGTTTATTATTAAAAATGGAGTTGATGTTAATGTGAAAAATTCAGTTAATGCAACGCCCCTTCATTTTGCAGCATATTATAATAGTATAGATGCTGCAGAAATTTTAATCGCAAATGGAGCAGATATTGAAGTTCGAGATGTTGATGGAAAAACTCCACTCCACGTTGCTGCCGAAAACAATAGTGCCGAAACTTTATTGCTTCTTATTGACCATGGCGCAAATATAAATGTAAAAGATGTTTTGGAACAAACAGCACTTTTATACGCAGCACAAAATTATAGTATAGATTCAGCAAAAATTCTTCTTGAGCATAAAGCTGATATAAACATTCAAGATTCTAATGGCTCTGCTGCTATTCATTATGCGTCATATAGTGATAGTACAGAAATGTTATCACTTCTTTTATCAAATGGAGCTGACATAAATCTAAAAGATAATAATGGAATGACTCCACTTACCTATGCGATTCCTGCCAATAAAAAGGACGTTTTCGAATTTCTTGTTTCTCATGGAGCTGATATCAAAACGAAATATGTAGATGGTGGTACAATTCTTCATCATGTAGCAAGAGTTAATTCTTTAGAAATAGCAGAATTTCTTATTTCACAAGGCGCCGATTTCAATGAAGTAGATAATAGTGGAGAAAGTATTCTTCATATTGCAGCATTTTCAAATAGCCTTGAAATGACAAAGTATATAATTTCATTAGGGGTTGATATAAACTCAAGAAACATCAATAAAGAAACACCTCTACATTACGCCACAAAATCTGATAGTAAAGAAGTCATGGAATTCCTGATTACAAATGGTGCAGATCTTAATGCTCAAGATATTGATGGAAGAACTCCTCTTCATTACGCAGTTTTGAGAAATAATTCCACTACACTAGAGCTTCTTATTTCTCATGGTGCAACAATTGATTCGAAAGATAATAATGGTCAAACTGCACTCCATAATGCAGCGTATGATGGGCGTTCAATTCAAATTGTACAGATTTTAGTTTCACATGGTATAGATATTAATGCAAAAGATAAAAATCAGGAAACTGCCCTTCAAATAGCAAGGAATAATGAAAATACACAGATGGCAGCCTTTCTTGTTGCTAAAGGTGCCAAATAGATAATAATTAGTATTAATTTTATTGAAAATATTCTAAAATATAGAAAATTTTATAAAAAATGTGTTGAATCATTTTGAAAAATATCATAATTATCATAAACAGAGACGTTTTATAAAATAATTTTTAAATAATTTAAATAACGAAGAGTTTAATAATAAATTATTATCAATATGGACTTGGAAAGCAGAACTATTAGTTTTACTTACCGATTTCTTTTGCAATCTCTCCCCAAACAGTGATCATTTGGTTCCAGAAAGCATCGTGGCCTCCTTCCTTAAGTTTGAGGCAGACTGTAGCGTTGTCTGGCTTGACAATCTTTGTTGGATCCTTCTTCTTCAAGATAAGGTTTGTGCAGCAGCATCCGTAAGTATATTCACCTTTTGTCTCGATATCGACATGGCAGCGAACATGTTCGAACCATTCTGGTGCAATAAGATGGAATGCAGCAACTGGATCGTGTAATGGTGGGTCGATGAAGCCGAAAACGTCGCGATACGTATCTTTGAAGAAGAAGAGAAGTTTAATGATCATTTCTGTGAACTTAGGAGAGTATGGTTCTGTAGCGGCTTTGATGTCGTTGATGACTTTCTCTGTAACAAGGACTGTATGAGTGATATCTAATGGAGCAGCGAAAGTGTAGTCGACTCCTGACTGGAGGATGTTAGAAATAGCTTCTGGATCGATGAGTACGTTGAATTCGGCAAATGGCATGATATTTCCGACAATCATAAAGTTGCCAGCCATTGTAGTCATTCTGATCTTCTTAGCATCTTCTGGATAGGCGAGAAGATACTGTGCGATGTTAGTTTCGGATCCTGTTGAGATAATATCGAACTTATCTTCGGCGGCTGAAACTAATCTGTGAAGATGCTTGAAGAAGTCATCTGGACGGAGTTCAGACTCGTCTTTGTATCCAAGGATGTCTAAAGCTGGGTTTCTTGGCATTGTTCTGTCGATTTCTGACCAATCAACGCCGCCAAGACCTGATTCTCCGTGAATCTCTGGGCAAGCGACTGATTCACGAGTGAGTGGCTTAGAATAGCCTCTGTAAACTGGAATCTTGTCGGCACGCTTGATCAAATTGAGTGTTCTGCGTGCATTTTGATATGTTTTGTTGACTGTTTGATTTCCGTGTGTTGTAGAAATGTACTGAACGTCAAGCTTTGGGCTATAGACAGCAAGCATGATCATTGCAAGATCATCATGGCCTGGGTCGCAGTCAAGAGCACACTTGATTGACATTTTTTGTGTAAAATTTCTTTATCGTTTCCCATCAGCAACCTTCTTTCGTATCCGCAAACATTCAAATTGCCATTGTTAGAGAATAGCACTGTAACATCAACAAAAAGCGTTATAAGCATTGAGGGAGCCTCTACATCATTGAACTTCGAGTTACAGTTGAATGATTACACCCCAATACCTCATTAAAGCAATCTATAACGGGACACATGTTTTCCCATATGTGCTTGGGCTATATTTTACATATAAAAGCTGAAATATATTTTCCAAAATGATCGAAAAAATTATACTGATTATATAAGCCCCATCACTTGGTACTAAAATAAACACATCTAAGGGTTTCGTTTTGCGAAAAAAACGTACAATACGCAATTTCGCTAAAAAAACATTTAGCTAGCAATTTCGACCTTTGACTCCACTCAAGACGTCACTTTTTTAATTTTGCGGTATCATATTTTTGGAAAATCTTTATGAATATTATATAAAAAGTCTCTTTAATATCTATATTTCATATTTTTATCGATTTTTAAAGTTTTTGCGAAAAGTATTCAATTATTTTTGCTATTTGGTCGGGTAATTGTCAGATTTGCGACATTTTCTGATATGATATTCAGATTCTACGTTGATAATAATGCTTATAGAACCCTCTTGCTATTGTGTCAAAATTGCGAAACCGATAGCAAAAATATCTCGCAATATCAAAATTGAGATATTGAGTGAATTATGCATTATAGAGATTAAAAATCTGATTTGTGAAAACATCTCATCAGTTTCTAGCTAATTCAAAAATCTTTACTATCTTATTCGATTAAAATGAAAATGGAATAGTTTCATTATGCTTTAAATGACAGCCTTATAATATAATCATAGTTTTCGCTCAATATGCAGCATTTTTTTTTCGAAATCTATGGTCAATGTCCTAAATACTGATTGCTTTGCATTCATATCTCTTACATTTTCTATACCCACATCACTATTCATTGCTATTCCTATCTTTTTCATTTTTGTTTGTTTCTCATAATTTCTCAAAAAACACGATAACTTGATATTTGTAAATATCATACTTTATAACGTAAATAAGAAATTGACCTATTAAGAAAAGCAGTAATGAAAAGAAAATCTGAAATTCATAAAAATTACAAGTTTCTGATGACAATTAGCTTAATTAAACCAGGTACAAGATTATATAATTGTATTTTCTATCCAATTATCCATATAATATCTTATCCAGAAAAAATAACTTGATCAATACCAAATGATTTTTTAACTAGTAAATAAAGTATTTTCTTTACACACACATTGTATATCATAGTTTTTTTTTTTGGTTTCGCAAAACATCCAAAAACAAATATGCTATAAAAGTGACAATTTTAGCAAAACGAAACCCTTAACACATCACCTATTTTTTGAAATCATATGGCAAAGCTTATTATTTCATATAAGACATATTTTTAATAAGAACTGAAGGAGACTATGAATTGATGATTTATTCTTCTAGAATATATCTTTACAGATAATATATACGCTTAGTATATAGAAGTCCAACTTAAATCTTGATAGATTCCATCGGAATAGAAGATAAAGAAATTAAAAATATAGAATCATTCGATCAGTTCTCTAAAATCTGATACCGATGCGATAGAGGCATAATTCCTTAGACTAGTGATCATTGGTTCTCTATATTAAAAAAAAAAATATTATTCAATCAAAGGAATTTCATTATAAGACCAAGGACCTTCTGATTGTATAAAGATACCTTTCTCAAATCGACCATTAATCTGAAAGCAATATCGAAACCGAACATACTCTTACTATTCTCATTACATGTATTCAAAATGATCTGACATACCTATCAAATTCTCAAATTACATTACAATCGAAATCACCAAATAATCACAATTACAGTAATTTTCCTTAAAATCAACAAAACTGACAATTGCCATTTATATTTTTTTCTTCAATGGCTGAAGTTGCCCCAGAATATAAAGTTATTATGATCGGAGAGTCATTCGTTGGTAAGACATGCATTGTTAATCGCTTTTGGGGTAAAATTTTCAATTCCAATGAAGCACCAACCATCGCAGCATCTTATATTCAAGTTCCTTTACAGTTAAAGCTCGAAGATCTCAATAGAACTGTTGACGTCAAGCTCAACATATGGGATACGGCCGGTACAGAAAAGTTCCAGTGCCTAGTACCTTTATATGCACGAACAGCGGACGCTTTGATCGTTGTATTCGATGCATCCAACTTAGTCAGCTTTGAGGGTGCTAAAAAGTGGTATATGAAAGTATTGGAAGATACAGGATCCAACCCTGTCGCAGTTTTATGCGCAAATAAAATTGATCTTGTCTCAGATTTCAATCATCCAGAGTCTGCTGAATGGGCAGCAAAGAATGGACTCAATTACATGAAAACTTCCGCACTAACAGGTCAAAATATTTCAGAAACATTTTATAAAATTGCTGAACAATTATACAGAGCCGAAGTCAAACCAGAAAATAGACTAGAACCAGTTGAGAAAAAGAAATCTTGCTGCTAATAATATCTTTTCCTTGTTTTTTAACATTATAATAAACTTAGAACGGTTTTTGTTTGTAATTAGGCAACACTACTGTTGATTTTCCACTGCTCTACATGAATTTACAGTATCCCAATACTATTATAAAAATAATATTAAATATTTATTTTCTTGATAAATTTAATTGGATTTGGAGATTGAAATCAATCATTACGAGTATTACCTATACTAAAATGAGAATCGATCTTAAAAATTGTTGAGTCAATATCAATGAAAATGTTAGATACAGTTAATTTCGAGCTTTATGTAAGTCACATCATATCTACTCAGATCGGGAATCATATTTACTTGAATTAAATGGATCGTATACGCATTAGTAGCTAGATGGAAACATAGATTTCCGTAAGTTTGATGAATATTTCTTTCAACGGTGCAAATAACTATATTTCAAATTTGTAGGTAAGTTGAAGGAGTGAATAAGTACAAGGAAAACTTTTAGTCTCTCTTACATTGCTTGCATATCGATGTTTCGATGCGCTCAAACATCTGAAATTGCGTTTATAATAGCCTTATAAAGCTACAGACCATTGCTGATACAATTAATTGAATGAAAATTTCAAAAGCTCGCGTTTATGCAAAACTATATCATTCACATGCGTTGCAGTATATCATTTTAAATATAACCAAAGAGAACCTTACGATATCTTTGTGAGGAAGAAGCGATGTAAAAACAGTTTATGATTGCGATGGTCTGTAAATGTTATAAAGTAGACTATCCTTATTTATTATTTGGATATTGCGTCAAAAAAAGACCCATATGGGTGTAAACAAATCCGACCAGTCAGCATTCAAAATTCTGATAATTCAAACCATCTGTTTATTTTTGAGAATGAGACTTAAGAAGGGGAGACATTGTTGGCATAATCCATATATACAGAAAAACCCATCATTTTTTCTTTGGGTATTTTGAAAGTTGATTCTCAATTTTTTGAAAGTTTAGAGGTGAAATTATTTTTTTATTGGCTAAATGTATTGTAATGTATTATTTATAAATCGATAAAACTCTACCGTAAATTTTATATTGATTATCAAACATCACCTCATTTTTCGAGATATGTTCTCAATCGATCTCATCCAACAAATTAAGGAATGGAAGAGAGGCTCAACACTACCAATCTGCCTTGGCTGCGATGTCGGTGGCTCTGGTCTCCGCGTAAGACTCTCTGATTTCCACGATTCTGCTAAATACGTTGATCTTGGCCATGCAAAGGCTCAGAAGACAGCAGAACTTCTTAAGGTTCTCGAAGACCTTCAGCAGAAGATCTTACAAGTCGAACCAACAACTGTTTGCCTTGGTGCTGCTATCGCTGTTGCAGGCCCAATCAAAAACAACACAGTTATCTTAACAAACTGGAAGGGCCCAGCTGAGGAGCGCACACTCTCCATCACACAACTTCCAAAGGGCCTCTTCCCAAAGGATCGCTCATATTTCCTTAACGATCTCGAAGCTGGCGCTTATGGTGTTATCGCCGCTTATGAGCAGAGCATCCTCGAAGAGAACTTCGTCCAACTCTTCACAGATCGTGCCCCAACAGGCCCAATTCTTGCTAAGGGCAGAACAGCAGTTCTTGCTATGGGCTCTGGCCTTGGTGCTGCTCTTGTCACACGCACACCACTCCTCAAGAACCCATTAGTTCTCCCAACAGAACTCGGCCACCTCCAAATTGCTCCAAACATGGCTACACACAAGTACTTCCAGGACGAACAAGAACTCATCCAGCACATTTCCGACCACTACTATGGCGGAAAGCTTGACCCAGAGTACGAAGATATCTGCTCTGGCCGTGGTCTCCAACTCGCCTTCCAGTTCTACCACAAGAAGCTCACAGGCGAAGTCTTACCACTCGAACAAATCGATGCTGGTGATGTTGCTAAGAAGGCCATCGCTGGCGAGAAGGATGCTTACAACGCTCTCCGCGCTCACTACATCTTCTACTTAAGAGCTGCTAAGGCTATCGCTACATCCCTCTCCTGCGAGTCTTGCGTTCTTTCCCTTGATAACCAAGTCAAGAACCACCCATTCGTTATGAAAATCGCTAAGGAGCTCGAAGAAGAGTTTTACGAACTCATCCGCCCAGACTGGATGACATCAGTCCGTGTCTACTCTCAGAAGTCCATCCTCAACTTCAACATTCTCGGCACAGACTACATGGCACATGCTATTGCCAACAAGCCACAGTAAGTGATTGTAAAAAATTCCGATTCAACTTATGTAGCAATTATTACTTCTTTTTAAACACACTTATATAAATACAATAAGTCATAACATATAAATTTGTTATCTGTCATCTTATTTACACTCCCATTTTCACAATTGAAAAAATATCTTAGGTTTTTTAGCGCTATCAACAAAATTAGCACAAAAATATAGCATATCTTCTGCTTTAATAGTTAAACTACGTTAGATATATTGCCATATTAATGATTTTCAAGCGTTTTCGAATTGAAATTAGCATTTAACCTCCATTAATGCACAAAAATATGCAAACATATATGAAACAATGCAATACAATTTCAATATGCGATGTCTTGACGATTAATATGAGATACTTGCGATCTGTAATGAATTTCAGATCGGCAACTTTTACTAAGCTCCTGAGTACATGCTACAGCATGGACTAGTCATCTGGATTTCGCAACGACAAATCATTTTTCTGAATGGTTGCACAAGCAATATTTACTATTGCTTGTGCAATATTCTTCGGATTTGAATTCATTTCGCTATTTTTGAGAAAACATTTTAACGTAATTACAAGATTCGCTATGGGAACCATGTTTGGAATGTTTTTCTCAGCATGGATGTTCTTTATCATATCTCTATGGATCCCACTATCACGTGAACACGGTCTATTGCATTCACTAATTCTTCTTCTCATTGGATTAATATTACAATTACTCACTATTGGAAAGAAATTTCCGAAAATTCGTTTTTACACTATAGTGACATATATTTTCGGAATCATTATTCCATCTACAATGCTAAATGCCTTAATTTGGGACGGTTTACTAAACGAAGGCTATTATACTCATGGTGCTTCATTTGGAGATTTCCCATTTCACATGAACATCATTAGCTCGTTTGTATACGGATGCAATAAGAACAGAAAGCATCTTTTCGATTTAGTATCTCCTTTCTACGCCCACAAAGAATTAGCTTATCCTTTCATTCCGAACTACTATTCATCAGTATTGATATCATGCTATGGTGTATCAATACATGATGCAACAGTATTCCCTTCGATCCCAGTTTCCATAGCTTTATACATAATTTTAGTAGATTTAATTTTTGAATTCACAAAAAGCGAATTCGCAGCCATTATAGGCGTATATCTTTTTACATATAATGGAGGAATGGGTTTCACACACTTCTTCTACGAAAAATACAGACAATCTTGGTTTATTGATTATGTTCATTATTGGGACGATGATTGGAAAGAATTTTGGCTCCAAGCAGTTTCTCATGTTCTATTGCCTCAGCGCGCATCATTGTTTTCGATGCCAATTGCATGGTCAGTGATTTTGATTCTTATGAGATGCAATGAAAGGGGATCTGCCACAGAATTCATTGCTGCTGGACTTCTTGTAGCTCTTCTACCACAAATTCATCCTCATTCTATCATTGCTTTGGCTCAATGGGGAGTTGTTTTTGCATTAATCACTTTTCCATACAAAAAGGTAGAAAAAATGCCAAGATTTATAATGAGATATATGTGTCTTGGCATAACAGCTATAGTATTTGGTGCATTTCAATGTATTCCTTTGATTGGACGTTCAACTCAAAATGATTTCATGAAAATACAGCCAATCAATAGAGGAGAGTTCGAAAAAGATATCATTACGCTATGGTGTCGAGGATTAGGACCATTTATTGTAATGGCTTTGATTCATTCTCCATTGATTTTAAATAAGACTCAGTGGAAGTTTTATATTCCTTCTATTGTTGTTTTCCTATTGGGAAATATTATATACTATCAGCCATGGGCGTTAGATAATACAAAAGTCTTTTATGCGGCTTTTATTCCTTTGGCTACTGCATCGGTGTCACTTTTTATGAAAAAACTGACAAAATTTGGATTTTTGGGAGTTGTTACTTTTATTGTTTTATTCATGTTTAGTATATTTTCAGGCATTTTGTCTGTTTATGTGACATGGAAAACGAGATCTATTGAATGGGACATTTATGCAGCTTCCTACAACTCTGCCAACTTTATTATCAACAACACCCCACCTGATTCTATCTGGATATCTGATAATCAGCATCAGAATCCCATTGTAACATTGGCTGGTCGTCAAATTTTCGTCGGATACATAGGATGGCTGATGAATCATGGTTTAGATTTCGAAAGTCGGCAAGAAATAATGAATAGATTGGTTGATAATCCAGAAGATACAACAGAAATTGATGAATTCAACATTACTTACGTAGGAGTTAGATATTCAGATCCTGAGTATCCATTTTATCCTCCTGATAATTCTACAAAGTGGAGCCATATATATAGCTCAGTAGCTTTCGATATTTGGCAGAGAACATCTGAAAAATAAAATTTGTTTTTTATGTTTGTTATATTTCAGTAAATATATTACGTTTTGCAACTAAATACATAGATATTTAATAATATAAATCATGAAAACTGATACTAGCAAAATTTTATTTTAGATTTCTTCATATTTTTATCCAAAAGTGATATATTATGGCTATTTCTCTATATCATATAGAGGATCATTAATTTTTGATGAAAAATGGCAATTCTGGCAATATGAAAACTATAAAATCTCAGATTGAACCATCTCATTGAATTTTTTGAAAGTTCTCCATCAACAAGTTATGAAGTTGTAAAGTAGAATTCTTTTCTATTGTGGGGAACGGTTAGGCGTCAAAAATCAGAAAGTCATCCATATGATTTGGATTTACCTCTTAATAGAGGGATTATCTAAATCATCAAAAGCTCCTCTTGCAGTTGAATGGCCTTCTCCATCAGAATCATGGCCAAAGCCTTTGTATGAAAAACCAGAATGGCCAACACCGACTGAAAAATGACCAGATCCTCCTGTTTACCCTACAAACAATCAAAATAAATTATCGCCATTAAAGATTACAATAATTGTTGTTTCAGTACTAGTTGTAGTTTCTATTATCGTTGGAGTTTCAATAATCTTTGTCAAACGTAGCAGAAAGAATAAATCGTTAGAAGATTTTGATGATACAAACAGATCAACTCTTACGGAAAACATTCTTCAAAATGAAGACGATTTGTAAGCACATTTATATACCTCTATTATGTACATCATTTAATGATGTAATTTATCATTATTTCAAATCATTACTGTTCAATTTCATAAAAAATAATTAAAATAATGCTAATCTTTAGATAAATTTTTATCCATTGTTCGTCTCTTTTCTAGGAAATTAATGATCGGTAGTTGATAATGAAATAGAAACGACTTTCTTTAGAAAATTTAAATATTTCAGAAAAGGTGTACGACGGGGTGTAGCAAAGGTTTGCTATAGTCCATCATACGGTTGTAACGAAAATAACATAACTCAGTTTAACGATTTAATTCAAACAAGAAAAGTTGTTAACCTTTGGACAAAACTTGAAATTTTCTTTCCTATTGTTAGTATTTTTATTTTTGTTTTCACTCTTGCTTGTGTTATAACGCTTGCAATAATTGCCATCATTCGTTCTCACAAGTTGAAAGAAGAAGAAAATATGACTCTCCAAATTTAATTTTTCTATTTGTTATTATTATTACTTTGACTAATAAAAAATTAGGTATTCTCGTGTGATTTAATGGATTCTCCATAATATTAAATCTAATATTCAATATATATTATACAGAAGGTTCCATCAATACCCCTAGTAAAGTGAGTCATGAAAGGGCATAATCATTCCAGATCAAAATTAAATTCATTTGTAAAAATAAAAATTATCGATGAATCTGATATGAGAGCTTTCTATTTTCCAATATTAGCTTCTTAGAATGGTTGATATTGGATATTCGGAAATGCATAGGTTGAAAATTCGGCAAATTTTCTAAAAAGATGATTATTTTTCATATATCCTAGCATCATTACCTATTCTTCTTGTATTACATTAGTTTGTTGCTGATTAAATCTTTCAAAATCTACTTTTCAAATGATTGATTATATGAAATTACGAAACTAAGCCGCGAGCGAAGCGAGTGGCTTAAGAAAAGAACAGATTCGAAAAAAGATTGTATGAAATTACGAAACTAAGCCACTCGCTTCGCTCGCGGCTTAAGAAAAGAACAGATTCGAAGAAAGATTGTATGAAATTTTAATTCTTTATTTTTTAGGATTGTTAGCTTTGTAAGATTGCTTTCTCACAAGAGAAAACAAGTATAAGGTTTAAGCTGTATGTATTAAAGTTATAAATATTTGATTTTAAAAAAAATCAAGATTTTAAACTTTAAAGGTATTAATTATGATTATCTTTCTTTAGCTTTGCATGCTGTATGCTACTTTTGGAAACTGCTCTATTGTATTAGAATGTTTTTAAATTTTGCACCTAAAAATGCGTAATATTAAAAATTAAGGTATTAATTATGATTATCTTTCTTTAGCTTTACATGCTGTATGCTACTTTTGTCTTTGAGACATTCCATGATTTAAGTTAAGAAGCTTTAAAAAAAATGCAAAAAAAATTGAATACTTTACTGGCTGGGCAAATTTGTCGCCGCCCCTATTTCTATTCATTTAAATAGATATTTGTAAAGTGAATTGTATATTACATAATGTATATAAGATAGTTCACATAATGTTTTAGCTCAAGACACAAATTGCATCGTCAATTTCATTAAATTTGATACTTGTATTAAAATTTTCGAAAAAATTCATATTGCAGACGTAATTACGCACGATTGTCATTTGTTTACAGTAAAATGAAATGGCTATTTTCCCTTTCAAATTATGAAACACGCGGCCGAACTCAAAGCATTGAAAAATTCAATGAAAAACGATTAAAAATTGACACTTTTTAATAGCCGGAGAAAAAAAAATATTTTTCTTTACTCAATAATAAGCATAGCCATATCTTGCTTCTAACAGATTATCCGCCTGAATATCACATTCATCATCGGACATATTGTCTTCATTGCCTTCGCGCATTGATACGATGAGAACTTTATTTTCCTTCTCGTTAAGGAAGAGTAGAACTAAATTGTAGAAAACGCCCTGTTCACTAAAAGCGTCCGGGCCATCAGGATCATATTTATAGATGTGGCTATTGTTGGTATTAATTTCTGTATCGATAGCTGTCCAAAGCTTCTGTTGAATAATATCACTATTCTCTAAATACGTCATCAGAGGCCAGCAGATATCAGAATGGGCCTGCTCGACTGTATTAATTAACTTCAGATGCCATGGACAGATATTTGAAAAATCGTAGTCTGGGAAGGAAGCTTCGATAGATGATTTAAGAACACCGAAATGCTTTGGGCTAGCATACGTATTTAATGAATAGGTAGCACCAGAGGAAAAGCAGTTCGGGCTTTGGCCGAAAGAATTGTGAATGTAAGGGCGATCATAATTGGATGAGTTTACATTCGCAAGATCTTCCTGGGAAAACTCGAAGCACTCAACCTTAGAACAGAAACGAGATTCTGGGGTAATTCGTGCAAGCAATTCCTGATTAATATTGAACAGAGTAGATGTGTTAAGATACTTCATCTTGTATACTTTTTGGCGGTTAGTATTGAAAATATGTTCGGTGTGAGGTGTCGTCATTTTATATGCGAAATTCATTTTCTGACTGATGATTTATTTTCGATATGGGATTTCCTTGCTGATCATTTGTTGTTGTTTTGGTTTTCAAACTGGAAATAACGATTTTTTGAAACTTCCTGACCAAACTTCTGATATCGTAATATGAAATCACCGTAAATATACGGATTCTATCGCTTTTAATCATATTTGACTGTTCGCATCTGATGCATTATGTCAGTATGAAAACATTTGTAGCTTTAAATTGAAAGATTTCAGCTGCTAATTGATGGAATTCGGTAGATTTTGTCTTTTTTCATACTTCCTGCTAAAATTTTTCATAAATTAGCATTATCTCGAAACTAGTCGAATTACCATCTCTGAATTCAAAAAAGACTTCCGAAATTAATACGATGAAGCTTAAAATAGAATTCACCGGTCATACGATCAAAAGACATAGATTTGAATAAGTAAATGCGAATTTAGTACTTGTTTCAAAGTCCTAGCTACATTTCCAAACAAAATTATGCAATTTTAGCCTTCCAAATCTCATTTTGTTCAATTCTGTTGCATAGAGTAAAATTACACCAAGATCGTTTATATATTTTGAATACTTTTTTGTTTGTTTTCCGAATTTTTCCATGAAATACCTTAGAAATATTGAAAATAATTAATTATGAAATGAAGCGGAGTTGAAATCTGTTGTTTCCTTTTGTCAAATGGTCTGGTTCGTGATGTAATTTACGAAAATATTTGATAAAAAAATAATAAGTATAATTTTGATTTACAACTGATAAGTATATAGACAACTAATTACGCAAATAGAGAAGCAGCGCGTCTGGCTCCAATTTTAGAAGTCAATTCGCGACGCAAAAAAGCTGAATCTTTTCTTGCTTTTTCAAGCTCAGATTTCAGCTTAGCAATATTTTGCTGTATAGCAAAAGATTCTCTAAGTAAGTTTTGTTGTTCTTCTGATCTCTGTTTTTCTAATTCTAACTGTTGTGTTTTTCTCATGTTAGCATTAATCAAAGCAGCCTTAAGCTTTTCGGCTACTACATTAGCTTTGCTAAGTTTCTGCTTGAATTCGGCTTCAGTTGTGTTGATTTGATTTTGAATTTGGTCTATTTTAGCTTTTTGCTTTCCAACGACTTCGGCTCGCTTTGCTTGAGTTCTGTCCAATTCGGCAAACAAGCGTGCGAGTTCTTCCTGGTATTTATCTTCTTTCTTCTTCATTTCTGCCTGGAACTGCTGTATTTCTTTCTGATATTGTGTCTCTTGATCATCTAACAACATTGTCATTTCTGTAACTCGAGCTTTATTAGTTTGTTCTTCTTCTTTTAATACTTTCATTAATTCACGTTTCTTTGATTCAAGCATTGATATTCTTGAAATGTATGCGCTCTCACTTGTTGGGATTTTATCGTCTTCTGGTTCTATGGCTGATGTTTTGCTTCCGCGAATTTGATTTTTAGTTTCTTGCAATTGAGAACGAACATTTTCGATTTCTGTTTTATCATCTATATTATCTTGAGGTATTTTCATATTTTGCAATGAGGCAGCATATTGTGCGATGGCCGCAGCATGCTGTTCTTGTAATTGCTCGATATTTGAGAGATGATTCATTCTTGATTCAGCCGATTTTGCTTCAGCATCAATTTTAATTTGCTTTAATTCTGTTAATAATGATTCTTTCTCGTTCATAAAATCTCTTTCTTCTTGTGCAAGTGTTGATTGCGCAGTATTAATGCGCAAAATGTAATCCTGTAATTGTGCTTGAAGATCTTTTAATTCTGCTTCTTTTGTTGCTTTTGTATCTTCAACTGCTTGATTAATTTTTTCAGTTCTTGATGCTCTAAATTGCTCATATGTTGGCTGCTGTGGTGGCATAGACTTTGCAAGTTCGGATATTGATGCTCTTGATATTCCACCCCTTGAAGATGATCTAGTTGTCATTGAAAAATAAAATGATTACAAAGATTTTTTTTTATAAAACGGAGCATTCTTTTCATCCTTCTAGCATTGAATATTATGTATATAGACTATATAAAAGTATCATACATCGGTGGGTAATACTAGGAAATCGATCTTGATTGAGAAATCAATTGAGTTTCTTCCCTAACGTATAATTTAGATTCCGTGTAAATCTTACAAATAGCTCAATTTTTGATAGTATGACGGATTCATTTATAAACATTTTTATCTAAACTGTTAGATGTTATTTTCTGCAAATGTTATATGACAAAATTTTTGCAGTTTATATGACTGTTCGAAAACTTCTATTTTGGATTGATTTCAGAATTCCTGCGTCATAAACGTACAAAAATTTTATCAATGTATTCTTCGAAATCAATCAATCTTAGAAGTCAATTTCGCTCTCATCTCGAGAAAGCATATCCTGGAAAGAATGCAGGAGAAATCTATAGTGCATTGTTACCAAATGGACAGGCATATCTTTTATTTTCTGATCTAGAAAACTTATGTCTAGACGCTCAAATTCCCGTTGAAAAAATAAACGATATTTTCCATCCATATATTTCACGTAAAAATATGATTTCCGGATCACAATTCGAACAATTCTTCAAGGATGAGTTCACAACAGGTTCAAATCAACCAGATGTTCCAGAGGGCGTCTCAAATGAAACAGTTTTAGTTCTTCGTGCATTTGCTACAGCAATTCGTCTTAGATTATCACCTCATCCTTCTGAAAGATGGGCGAAACTCATCCAAAGAAATCCACCTAGTGCTGGATCATCTAAACTTCGTGTTGCTACATTATGTAGATTGTGTAATGAATACAATCTTCCTTGTGATACTGAAGACTTTATTGATGCTCTTTTCGAATTCTTAGGTACAAAGACTGATGCGATCGACTTCCAACAATTCAACTCTATAATGGGCACATTTGCTTAAAACATATTTATTGGTATTTTTTTATTTGATGATAAAAGTAACATTCTTGTTCTTTTGTATAGAATTTCTCATATATTAAATACTGAAACACTAGTACTAAAGAGTTTTCAATATAGATTTACGGTAAGAATTCTCAAAAATTTGTATCAGACTCAAAAATTAAGATAATGAGTATGAATGAAAAAAATGTATAAGTTAACTTAATACGTAATTCGAATTTAATCAATTAAAAATCAACGACAACACCAAGATTCTTTTCCTTGGCAATATCATAAATAATTTGAGAAGCAACCGTATCTTGTGCTGCGTGTCCGACGAACTTCGCAATTGTAATTTGCTTCTCATTTTGTCTGCCTTCGATCTCTTTATTAACGACGGCTCCAAATTCATAAATCTTATCTTCTGTGATGAATCCGCTTCTGATTGCATCCATAACATCACCAGCTTCTTCTCTCATTGCTTCGAATTCATCGATAAATATTCTGACATTTACTCTTCCGAAGATTTCGTTTGGAAGCTCGCGCATATCGAGTTTGTAAGCACCAATAGCTGAGATATGTGCACCCTCCTTAACCCATTCGGCCTTGAAGAGTGGAGTCTTGGATGTTGTGGCGCAGTGAATGATATCTGCTTCACGTACTGCTTTTTCAATATCTTCTCCAACTATATAGTTGCGAGTTCCGTCCTTATCGGCGTGTCTCTTGCAGTATCCAACGGCAGAAGTATTGTTATAGTCAAAAGCAGTAATGTTTTTGACTTCAGGATGAGCCTGAATAATTGATTCAATGCCTGCACAACCTTGTGCACCGCATCCGAAAATAACAACATTTGTAGCTGGAGCTGGATGAAGCAATTGCGATGTTGCGCCAGCTGTGGCACCTGTCCTCTTAAATGTAACCATAAATCCATCCATGATTGCATTTAGAGCGCCGGTTTCGTTGTCATAAACAAGACATTTTCCAGGGATAGTGTTAAGTCCCTTTGCTCTGTTTCCTGGGCAGACAGAAAGAATCTTAATGGCAAGATCTGTTCTATCTTCTTCATGAACAGCGCATGGCATGAGAAGAAGTTCTTGTGGGCCTGTGTTTAAGTTTGTTCTAACTGGAGCTGTGAATTTCTTATGGGAAATGATGGAGAACGCCTTGAAGCATCCTTGAATAGCGATCTCTGGTGTATAAATTTGTTCGACAAGTTCTTTGTTAAGAAGGCGAGTCATTTTTATATAAAAATGAATTGAAAATATAAGAAAATTGAAAGGGGAAATTAGCCAATCAAATAAAATTTTGGAAGAAATAAAGTCAAAGATGTAGTGGTTATTATAAGATGATTTGTCAAAAAGCATAGTTTTGATTCATTCAAAAATTGAACTCGGAATTGGGATTAATTGAAATTTTGAAAATTCTCTGAAAGAGATTTTCATGTTGAACATTCTGCAATGGAATAAAATAATTATAGAAAAAAATAAAATTTTTGAACGCCGATTTACGTAATTATGCTTATTGTTAGTAGTCTTATAAATTACATTGAAAATCATTCTATTATCCTTGGATAAACCCATGAAACATTCAAATCATAAATATCTATGACCAACTAAAATAAATAACCTTGATATTCAGCTAAAGTAACACTCACTACTTACAGTCATATATAGAGTGGTTTCCCAAAAAAGATGATCGTTTTGTTATAGACCGAAAATAGATTTTTTCGGTTTTCTCTTCAAATAATTGAAAGAATGATACTATTATAGGTTTATTATATTATATAGCATATAATCATGCTATAGCCGAAAATTATAAGTTTTGAGAAGATTGAATATAACACAAATAAATTTGAATGTAAGTTAAATTGCTTGTTGTTTTTAATAGCTATTTAATGAGAAATCCAATATTGCAAAATTCAAATTGAATGATTGAAAGAACAGAAAAAGTCATTCTTTTCAATTTCGAATATGTTTCATTGTATTTATAATTATATGGCAAATAAGATATTTAAACTTAATTTTTGAAGGAAAATTCACAAAATTGAATAAATTCAAATAATTTTTATTCAAAAATAAACTAGTTATTTGAGTTTAATACTAATTATCTATTCAAACTACAAAGTTTGTAATTTAAAATATTTTGTGAGATCAGATTGAATTAATTCAAGGTTCTTTTCAATTAATATTAATGACCATATTACGCATTTTCGAACATTCTAAACCAAATATATAAAAATGGGAGACGAATGTTAAATTTTCTAGACATAAAGAAGTTGTTTACCGAGTTTTAGCTCTTATCTCTAACAAAAAATTAATTTTTAAAAAAAAGACCGAATACGTTTCACAGCGAGAAAAAAATAAAAGGCAAGATAGAATTTTCTAGACATAAAGAAGTTGTTTACCGAGTTTTAGCTCTTATCTCTAACAAAAAATTAATTTTTAAAAAAAAGACCGAATACGTTTCACAGCGAGAAAAAAATAAAAGGCAAGATAGAATTTTCTAGACATAAAGAAGTTGTTTACCGAGTTTTAGCTCTTATCTCTAACAAAAAATTAATTTTTAAAAAAAAGACCGAATACGTTTCACAGCGAGAAAAAAATAAAAGGCAAGATAGAATTTTCTAGACATAAAGAAGTTGTTTACCGAGTTTTAGCTCTTATCTCTAACAAAAAATTAATTTTTAAAAAAAAGACCGAATACGTTTCACAGCGAGAAAAAAATAAAAGGCAAGATAGAATTTTCTAGACATAAAGAAGTTGTTTACCGAGTTTTAGCTCTTATCTCTAACAAAAAATTAATTTTTAAAAAAAAGACCGAATACGTTTCACAGCGAGAAAAAAATAAAAGGCAAGATAGAATTTTCTAGACATAAAGAAGTTGTTTACCGAGTTTTAGCTCTTATCTCTAACAAAAAATTAATTTTTAAAAAAAAGACCGAATACGTTTCACAGCGAGAAAAAAATAAAAGGCAAGATAGAATTTTCTAGACATAAAGAAGTTGTTTACCGAGTTTTAGCTCTTATCTCTAACAAAAAATTAATTTTTAAAAAAAAGACCGAATACGTTTCACAGCGAGAAAAAAATAAAAGGCAAGATAGAATTTTCTAGACATAAAGAAGTTGTTTACCGAGTTTTAGCTCTTATCTCTAACAAAAAATTAATTTTTAAAAAAAAGACCGAATACGTTTCACAGCGAGAAAAAAATAAAAGGCAAGATAGAATTTTCTAGACATAAAGAAGTTGTTTACCGAGTTTTAGCTCTTATCTCTAACAAAAAATTAATTTTTAAAAAAAAGACCGAATACGTTTCACAGCGAGAAAAAAATAAAAGGCAAGATAGAATTTTCTAGACATAAAGAAGTTGTTTACCGAGTTTTAGCTCTTATCTCTAACAAAAAATTAATTTTTAAAAAAAAGACCGAATACGTTTCACAGCGAGAAAAAAATAAAACTGTACACTGATTTTCATTTTCATTTCCAGTCACTTTACTTATTATTTTTTCTTTTTTTCATTTTAATTATAAATTATTTCATAATTCGTTTATTTACGTTACCATTTTCTTTATTCTTTTGAATTCCATACTAGACACTTATAGAATATTTTGATTGTTAACGTACTTCATTAGAATGAATCCTTACAAAGGGTATGTCGATCGAATTTACCTAATTGGTATTTCCAATCAGATTGAAGAAAGTAAAATGACATGGGAAGAAGCTTGCACCCATGTTCCCATCGCCCCAACCCTCCAATCAAATGATTTAAAATATTTAGATGTTTCAAAATCTTTTTTACAAAATTAATTTAGCTTACAGAATATCCCATTGCCTAAAGGCAAGAAAGGTCGTAGGGTCAATCCCTACGACCAAATCAAAGCTCTTGCTGTGATACATGACCACTGGGCCTTTCCCTGTGGTCAAACAAAACAATGGAAACGTTTGAAATTACAACAAATTGATGTATCTTATAGAGAAGTACGCAGATACTTCAAAGAAAATCATTTCACCAAGACGCGATTAGAGCATGCCGGGCCAGAAACAGCAGTAAGATATTGGGCGCTTTCACCCAATCTTATCTGGCACGCAGATGTTCATTATTTTAGGGGTGTTCGTGGCCAGTATATTTATGGCATATTCGACGATTTTAGCCGCAAAGTCCTAGCGTGTATACAAATACCAGATATGCTGGCAGCGACGACAGCGAACGTTGCGGCTTCCGCCTTCATTGAATTTGGCGCCCCTTATTGTTTCTGGACCGACAACGGTTCAGAAAATAGGGGCGCCTTTCAAGATCTACTTGATCTTTAGGGCGCCCAATGGCGGCATACAGACTCTCATTCTCCCTACCAAAATGGGAAGATTGAGAGATTCTGGCTGACATTGGAGCGCTGCCAAAGCATTCAGGCTATTCCTGCCTTTATTTGGGAGTACAATAATAACACACCGCATGAAGATCTCCCAATTAATCCATTAACTGGAACAAATTACACGCCAAATCAAATGTATCAGCTGAAACCGAAATACACAAATGCAGATACAGAAAGGTTGTGGCAAATATGGGATACAGATACAGGCATGACCGCTGTTGACACATTCACAGCGTAATAATAAACATAATTTTTTAATTTCATTTTTAACAAGTTTTTTTAAATGTATGTAATGAATAATTCATTAGAATATGATAATGCACATTGTAACAGAATAGAACAATCACCAAATTTTTTTTTGAAATTAAAAAATAAAAGTAAAAAGTATAAAGTAATCTAACCAAAAAAGATATTTAAAAGAATTTTGGAAAAAACAGAATAAGGATAATGATATTATTTTAGATACACAATCGATGTACTGAAGAATAATCCGGTAAAATGATGATATAAAATTAGATTATTTTACAAGTAGCTAAAAGAATAAAACTATAATATAAAATAAATGAAGTTTAATGAAACAATAAAGGTTAAATAAATAATAAAGATTTTTATTTTATATCAGTATTGAGAAGAAGTAACAGCTGACACTTGGTAGACAACTTCTTTATGTCTAGAAAATTCTATCTTGCCTTTTATTTTTTTCTCGCTGTGAAACGTATTCGGTCTTTTTTTTAAAAATTAATTTTTTGTTAGAGATAAGAGCTAAAACTCGGTAAACAACTTCTTTATGTCTAGAAAATTCTATCTTGCCTTTTATTTTTTTCTCGCTGTGAAACGTATTCGGTCATTTTTTTAAAAATTAATTTTTTGTTAGAGATAAGAGCTAAAACTCGGTAAACAACTTCTTTATGTCTAGAAAATTCTATCTTGCCTTTTATTTTTTTCTCGCTGTGAAACGTATTCGGTCATTTTTTAAAAATTAATTTTTTGTTAGAGATAAGAGCTAAAACTTTGCAGACAACTCCCCCATGTCTAGCAAATTTAACATTCGTCTCCCATTTTTATATATTTGGTTTAGAATGTTCGAAAATGCGTAATATGGTCATTAATATTAATTGAAAAGAACCTTGAATTAATTCAATCTGATCTCACAAAATATTTTAAATTACAAACTTTGTAGTTTGAATAGATAATTAGTATTAAACTCAAATAACTAGTTTATTTTTGAATAAAAATTATTTGAATTTATTCAATTTTGTGAATTTTCCTTCAAAAATTAAGTTTAAATATCTTATTTGCCATATAATTATAAATACAATGAAACATATTCGAAATTGAAAAGAATGACTTTTTCTGTTCTTTCAATCATTCAATTTGAATTTTGCAATATTGGATTTCTCATTAAATAGCTATTAAAAACAACAAGCAATTTAACTTACATTCAAATTTATTTGTGTTATATTCAATCTTCTCAAAACTTATAATTTTCGGCTATAGCATGATTATATGCTATATAATATAATAAACCTATAATAGTATCATTCTTTCAATTATTTGAAGAGAAAACCGAAAAAATCTATTTTCGGTCTATAACAAAAAGATGATCGTTTTTACTTCTCACAAATATGTCATTTTCAAAAAATCATAAACACATAATAAGTGTAATATTTATCCTGAATTTGATTTTCTGACAAAATCAAAATTGAATTAGTTCTCAAATGATTTGATTTCAACTCATTCAGTTTTTTTATCATCAAAACGTTTCTGTGATGAGGAATTATCATTACTCGTTAATTCTGAATTATTAATGATTCAAAAGACTGCAATTTAGAAGTATAAAACAACAAAATTGAAATTTTCATTTTCATGGAACAAAGAAATGATCGTCAAAGCTGCAAACTTAATGAATTGGTTAGTAGTCAAATTTTATTCTTACGATTCCCCTTTAATACACCAAAATTCTCAAAAACAATTTTTTGTACTTGATATTTTACTTAATTACTACATATCATGAAATCATTCTTGTAAGTTTGTTTTAAATTTCGCGTAACAACCTTTATTTGATTGCTTCGAATTTGGAATGAAAAATTACTAACACTAACTATACATATTATAAAAGATTAAATAGTATTTACATTTTTGTGATAGTTTCTTTTGAGTAACTGAAATAAATTCATAATTGAATGATATTTTTCTTTATATTTTCAAATTTGAAGTAATATGACTACAATATATAAAGACTCACTAATATGCAATAAAGTGCTAAAGTAAATTTATAATAAACAAACAAAAAAATAGAAATAATATAAAAATCTTATCTTTGTGGCTTTGCAATTGCTGCCAAGATCGACTTAATACATTTTTGTTGTAGAGGAGTCATTTCTGAATAAAGATCCTTGAGCCACACTGATTTTTCACTCTTCATAATCTTCTTAAAAACAAGTTTTACATTGTTTCTTGATTTCTCCGAAATACTGGAGCATTCGTAGGCCTGTACCAAATGGCTTATTGTTGTGGGGAAATTGTCTTCGTTGAGGAACCACTGAGGATAATTTGCGACAAAGAATAAAAACAAATTATAAACAGTTTCTGATATATCCTCTATACTTTCTATTGGTAAGTTATTCATTAAGACTTCTGCATCAACTTCCGCATTTGAATAATTTAGATTTGAGGAAACAAGTGCACAAAATGCTCCTAAAGCGCTATCATTAACTGTTACATTCGCCATTAATGACTCTCCTTCGAATAATTTGATGAACATCGTATAATATTTTTCGAAAATTTGAGGATCAACTTTAATTAGCTTGAAAGCGTTATGTAAACAAACAAAAATGGACTGCTTAAGGTCATAATCATTATCTTCTTCAATCCATGGCATAATTACGTCATAAATGTTTGATATCCTGTTGATATCAGATAATTTTATGACAAAAGTAAACCAAATCTCCAAAGCAGTCTTTGACATTAGTTTATCATTGAACATAGTCAATAGTTTTGCTTCCAGACTTGTTTCAAAATACTCAATTGCCTTGGAAAAGTTGAAAACAATTATCTCAGAATAAAGTGACGGAATATTTGACAAACAGATCTGAAAGAGAGAAATTGGGAGATCTATTTGTATCTCGTCAATGTTATCTGCCTTTTTCTTCATGACGATCTTCTGGAGAGCATCAAACAATCTCTCAGTGATTTGTGTGATAGAAATCAAAAGTTTTTCGATTTCTTGTTCATTTCCCCATTCGATTTCCTTCGCGTGAGAGATTAATTCACTTACAGTTATAACTATTGCATTCACAAAGCTTGGCGTGATAATAATTGATGACGGCAAACTGGTAAACGCTTCAACAACAGTTGTCAAAATTTGACATTTGAAATCAGAATTTTCCGAAGTCCTGAAACATTGAATCAACAAACTCAACGCGTGGTCTGCCATTGTCTCAATGAAGATGTCCCTGTTGAGAATATCTGCACTGACATTTGCGCACTCGTTCAAGTAATTTGACTGGTTTACATCAATTATTTTGACTAAAACCGTTAAAGTTTTGAGAGAACGAACAACATCAGTGACTTGGCTTTCGTTTATAAAGAGTTTGTCGCCAACTGTTGGACTAGGTATTCTTTTCATGCACGAAACATCAATGTCGTTGTCGCAATGATGTAAAACAACGATAGAAATTTCGTTTTTTGCTGTTTGAAGGAAATTTTCAAAAAGATAATCAGAGATAACAGAAACATCAGTTGCCAAGGACTGTATGAGTAGTATTATAGCAATGTGGCATCTCTCTAAGTCTTCGTTTTCGTATAAACTCTCTCTTATATCAACTAAAATTTGCAAAAAATCCAAAGAAAGTTGATTGATTTCTTGAGAAGTTGATCTCTTGTTCAGACACATCGCGAACGTTGTAATCGCAGTGAACTTCAAGTGCTGGTCTTCGGCTATCTCGTATATCTGTTGAAGAACACTGGTGACGTCTTCAAGCCTGTCAAAAGTGTCTCCAATTCCCATAATGAACAAACCTAAACAAAAAAGAAGTTTTTCGCAACATTGGTTATCATTGCAATCAGTTATCAAGGAGAGAAGTGTCTCTATAATCGATGGATAGAGTGGAGAAAGTGTTTCTCGGCTTGTGTTCTTGATAAAACTTGATAATGCGTCAATTGCTGCCCTTCTGACAAGAACGTTCTGTTCTTCGGCGATATATGATATGAGATGTGGGAATAGTTGGTCAAATAATGCTAATGGGAAGAAAGATGGCATAATTGAACAGAAATTATTTATAACTTGAAATGAAGCGTATCTTATGCGAGGATGGACATCATCTGTATTTAATATCTCTATAATAGGCGTCATAAATTGTATCAGTGACTCTCTGGATGAATCAGTATCTTCATCTTCGATCAAATATGATAATGTGCATGAGGAAGTGCATGATATAGCAGTAAGACATGCATAAACAATCTTCCAGTCTGTTGGATTGTTGATCTGTTGTATGAAATAATTGATTATCGTTTCTAATAATTCGGTTGAACTTATTTTGGCTGTAATATCATTAAATATGTCGCAAGAAACAGCAGATGGATTTCTATCGTTGATATCTTCAAGCCATTCTATGTCATCGTCGATTTCTCCCATTGTATTTATCAAATTTAAAATTAAATTTTTCACAAATTCTGGATTTGATTTGCATATATCTGAGCAAAATTTTGCTAAATCGCATGAAAACAGCAGTGCTTGTATTCTGCATTCATTTGGCGAATCTTGAATTGATTGAATCAGAAATTCAGAGAGTTCTGTAAAATTTTGTTCGAAAAACAGTGGTATTCGCTCACTAAAATCCGAAAGTAATTGGTATGCGTTAGGTAGGAGTGATATTGGAATGGATTTAAGAAATGATATAAAATTTTCTTGCAAAAATTGGCAATCGGGTGCATGAATGGCAATAGCAAGTAGTAAGTTAAAACGATTGATAGGATTTGAATCATATTGCATCAAATTAATCAAATAATTTATCTCAAAAAAAGAAAAATTATCGATTCCATATAAAGTATCTGCTATAATTTTAGAAACATATGGAATTGTCGTATCGTTCTGATTAAATATTGTTAAAATTGTGTTTCATTCAATGGCCGAGTTGATTTTATTGATTGAGTATATTAAAATCTCGGATACTATATTAGATACGATATTTTTCAACACTTCTGTATTCTCTTGGTCGTTATATACTTTCGGTAATATTTGAAATAATATATTACAGTGATTTGAAAAAATATCCTCTTGAAAAAACAATCTGTTATGTTTGATGAACGAATACATTATAGTTGCGGCTCTTAGTTTGAATGTTTGTGTGTCATCCGAAATGATGTTATCTAAATACTGAAGAAAGGTAAGAAAATCTTTCTCAGGTATTGAGTTCAACGCGTTTTCGGCTTCAATCCGTTGATCATCATTCCCGTTACAAAATAACTCAATGGAATTTCGAAAACTTTCGAAATCCATTTTTTTGGTAAAAAAAAATTCATAAGTTTTCTATAACATGAATAGTGTATCCGATCTGAACTAAAATTTCTTTATCACTAAAATTTTGATATCTGTTAGTTGCCGAACTTACGAACGATTAATGATGATCAATCGTAGTAATGATGAAGTTTTATATGTAGATAGAGCAATACTAAGCGGGATTTATTACGTCCATTTAAGAAAAATGCTTCATCATGATGAAAATAGTTCAATTATTCTAATTTTCAGTGAAAAGATATTCGAATCTTTAGATAACTGAGTTTTGAGAGAATCACTAGTATTATTTTGGGATTTCAATGAATAATAGATACCATTGCATGATCAAAAAATTCCAAAAAAATATGAAAAATCATAATTTGATGAAAAAAATCGAAAAATTCGAAGATATTTTTGGAATTTTGAAAAAATTTGGAAAAAGAAGGTTGGATCTTTAAGCATGTAACAATCATATTTTGACAGAGTTTATCTACCTAATCAGAATTATTTAAAAAAAGATAAAAATTAAGGTAATAGATTAATATTTTTTAGGATTGTATTTGGTAATCTATAACTAATTATCTCCATAGTAACTGGAACTAAATTATAAAGATGCCCATGGAGAAATGGATCTTAATTACAAAGAAATTAAAGTTTCATTTGTATAAATTATGTTTAATATGATGAGCACTTGCTGTATTTGAACCTCAAAATGGCATAGTTAAGCGTTTTGTTCCTAATCATTGTTGAATATCTTTGATGTAATTGGCAAGATTTAATTTTTCCTTCTATTGCAAGTTTATTAATGACATTGATCATGTTTGAGAGCAATGCTGTTCAACGTGGGAAATGATAATGGGACAGAAAGTAAGTGTAGCATGTGTGGGTTAATGCTTGCGTCATAAAATCAGACGATAAAATAAATCATTCAATTCGAAAAACCAATTATATCCAACACATCATATCAAATAAAATTTAACAATTAATAGACTAAAATTTTGTAAAGCTCACAATTTAAATAAATATTTTCCCAAACCAAATCTAGATGATTCTTTGCCTAATGATCAAGGTCAAGATCCAGCTGTAAAAAATAATCGCCAAGTTACGTTTAATTATCCCTGTTCAAATGATAATTCATGCGCGCCTTACGCTATAAAATTCTCGCCTGGTATTTATAACATCTCCCTATGCGGTGCAAAAGGTGGAGATGCCTACAAGTCTAACAATTTTATCGAAAATTCTGCCGGAAATGGCAATTGCGTTGAAGCAAATCTCGAATTATTTAAGAATACACAAATGTACTTGTATGTTGGAGGCAAAGGAACTAACCAAGGCTCCACAGGATTAGGTGGCTGGAATAATGGCGGAAACGGATTTGGTGAATGCTCAGGTGGAGGTGGATCCACTGATCTCCGTTTAGTTTATAATTCCGGCTCAAATGAACTCCTTTCTCTTACAAGTAGAATTATTGTGGCCTCCGGCGGTGGTGGTGGCTGCTTTAACGCTTCCAGCATGTATCATACGGGCAGTAATGGTGGAGATGTTAATGGAACATCTCCAAATCCAGAAGGAGATTATGCAATACAAAAGGGAATCAAGCAATACTTTGGTAAGGCCCTAAATGGTACCGCAGATTATCCAATTGCCGGAAGTGGTGGTGGATATTACGGCGGATACGCAGTAATAATCAATGAAAGTTTTACAGGTTGTTTTGGAGGCAATTCCTTTGTCTCTGGTGCAAATAATTGTATCGCTGTTTCGGAAAATGGAGATTATCTTATCACGAATGTCCATTACTCAGGATTGAAGTTTTCTGACATCAATATGAACAAATCACATAACGATGGAGCAGGATATGCTATTATTAGCTTAGTTAAAGATTATTCGAATCGAATGTCTACAGAAAGATTCAATCTTCAAATTAATAGAGAAGCATTCAGAAAATCTAATGTTTATAGAGAACACTAAGCGCGTTATCCTGTTTTTTTTACCGCTTTTATTTTACATTTTCATATGTTATTTTTATACATGTAAAAATCATTTATGTTAGCATAATTTTTATACATAATTTCTACAATGTAGGATATTTGTAATATTCATTGAGCCAGAGGAATACATTTTCGATTTGAAATTTTATAAAATTACAAATTGGCATTTCATTTATACTATAACAAATACTCTTTGTTTGATACACTTCGAAATTTCAATGATTAAAGTAGAATCTTTAGTATGGACACTCTTCCTAAGAAATAGCTATCGTCATTTACCAAAATTTGCAAATACATCAAGTTGTTCAATATATTTTAGTTATGAATGGAACGAATTTTATGCAAGAGATCTTTCAAATACGCCATACGAAAACAATAGTTCAAAACTTTCACCAGGTGATCAAAATTACTACGTAAAGAGTTGCCTCTTTTCCGAAAATATTAACTCAGGTGCCATTAATTTTACGACTAAACAAGATACAACAAAACTATTAGTTGACGAAACGCAATTTTTAAATTGTAGTAACTCCGGTCAAGGAGGAAGTTTATACTTCTCGAGCGAAGGCGAATGCGTCCAAGATCGAATAATAAGTGACTCATCAAAAGTAACAACAACATATACTTATGGAGTTTATTGTTATTCAGATGTTTCAGATAAAGAATCATTCCAAAACAAAATTCTTTCGTCTTCAATCACTAAAAGTGGAGAAAATAACTTAGGAGATGTAAATATTTACCTAAAAAATGGAAAAATTAATTTCACTAATTCAAATATTTCTCATTCAAAATGCAAAGGAATTAGTGTTTCTTGTTTTGAAAGTTATTTATCTGATTCAAAAGTTTTATTTTCTATATTTTATGATAATAAAGATAAACCTCCAAGTGATGCTGCCTCTGTTTACCTTTTTTATTCACCATCATCAACTATTCTATTCGAAGCAACAAATTTCCAAAATATTACTGATTTTTGTTTAGTTTATGCATATAAATCTCCAACAAATTTAACAAATTGTTGTTTCTCAAATAACAAAATTTCTCAATATTATTTCTATGGAGATAGTGCCAAAATTACAGTTGATAGATGTTTCATTGATGAGGTAGATCCAAAAACAACATATACAGTTGAAATAACTAACAGAATCCAATATTTATCTAACATTGATGTTTGTGAAATATCCTATGCACTCGGATATCAAAATATAAATAAATTTAACAAAGAATATTTTGAAAATATTGAGAAAGCTCGAAAATATATTAACTTTTCAAATATTTCTACAAATTTCATAAACTTCACATTAAACACATAATTTTTTCCCACATGATTTCATTTTTTCAATATCGAATATAAATGAAATATATATTTTATATATAAGAAACTAAGCATGAAAACAGAGCCAGATTGGGATCCATTCAAAGGTCAATCAAATATCACAATCTGATGATTATTCATATCAGTATTCAATCATCAATGATAACTTAAAAAAAGCTGAAATATTGTATCTGTATATGCGTGTAAACTTAGTAACAAAATCAGGGGAATACTTAAGAGAACCTTAACCTGAAGCGTTATTTTTTTTTAGATATTTTTTTTAATGAGTCTTTTTAGTGATTTTATACAGAATACTAACAAAGAGGTCCTTGAGCGTGTTGAAAAACTTGTTAAGGAGAAGGGAATCAAAGCAAAACTTGAAAAAGAAACAGAAAATTTGGCAAATCAGTGCGCAAATTCTTTAATTGATCCAGAAGCTCCAAAACCACCAAGTTTTAAAGGAGTTGATTTTGCAGTAGAAGATCAAGATCAATTCCTTTTAATTCTAGATTATTTTCAATCATCCGGATTACAATTTACAACTCAAACAATAAAATACGAAAGTCAGCATCCTAACATCACTGTCGATCGTAAAAAGCTAGCTGAGAAGTATGGCTTGCGTAGTTACGATAAAACTCCTTTACTTGTTCAAATGATTGAACAGAGATTGAAAATGATAGGAAATGAGTAATAAATATGTTAGTTTACTGTTGTTGTTTGAATGCAAACAAATATTTTTCGAGTTTTTTTGTTGTATAAAATGTATAAAAATATTTTTATGAAAGAATAGTATTATAGTTTATTATTATAGTAACAAGATGAGTAATAAACAAAGCTTTATGGATTTTGAGCATCAGATATATGCTTATTCGTTAAATAATTGGAATTTAACAATTTGATCAAAAACGTAAGAACAAGCACTTCTGCACGAGTCTCTTAACTTTTTCTGATTTTGGAATGTAAGTACCATGAATTCTTCTGATCTTTGGATATATAAAACGGACGAGTTAGTTTCTGCAGCAAGGAAAGTAGGTGTTAACTCTATTACTGCGAATGTTTTATCCTGAAATTTAAAACCATTATATATATCTTTTGATTCAGTACCAAAAATGTCACTGATTTCACGAAATTCCTTGGGATTTGTTACAAAACCTGGTGTTGTATAGTAAACAACACCATCTGATCCGGCTATTACTGCAGCAAATACATCTGATTTCACTTGATCTAATAATGCTTCCATAATAAAAATGTGACAAAAAAGTGACAACAAAAGTTATCACATATGAATCCAATCACTGTAAAGCTAGAAGACGGCGGCTGGACACCAGCACTTCACCAAATAGCAATAGAAGTTATTGATTCATTGATTAATAGACCAGCATCAGCCCTTATTTCTGATCCGAAAGAGCATCAAATTACATTCCAATCAGTTAGAGAAAAATTATCAAAGAAAAAGTATAGCACAATTGAAGAATGGGGAAATGAAATACGTTTAATCTTTAAGAAAGCAAAAGACACAAAGGAAGATCTCTCTATTGATGTCGCTGAAGAATTTGAGATCAAATTCGAAAGAAAATATCAGCAAATAGTAGAATTAAGTCATTTCAAGTTCAAGACAGCAACAAAAAGAATTGTCGAAGATATTGATGATCTTAAAGAGAAATATAAAGATTTAGAATGAACAAACTTGTAAAACCTATCGATTACAGAATTTTCACAACAATAAATATGTTATTACTCCAAATAAAATTTTATTATATAAAATTTCGTTTTGTTAGCGAATTAACTTTTTCACCATCTTTTTATATCGAGTTTTTAATATGTTTAATCAAATTTGTTATGAGTTAGGAATTTTATTTTCCATAAAAAAATGAGATTTGGTTTTGTTATAATTTACTCAACATAGGATATGTTTTAGAAGACATATATAAGGGCTTTTGATACACTATGGAACCATAGTTATGGATATATAGTGCATAGAAGTTTTGAAAAGGAATGACTTAGTTTCATTGGTAAATTTGATCTCTTCATCTAAAAAGATTGACCACATATAGATAATCAATATTTTTATAGAAATTATCTATTATGACACTAAGGTAAGCTTATTTTAAAATAAAATGTCCAATTTAAATAAAAAAGCATGATTTCCCTTCACGAAAAGTGACATGAAAATATGAGTTCGGAAGAACAACCCAGTTCAAATCCAAAAGAAACAGCGCCAATTCAACAACACCCTAAAAGACCAATACGCAGACATCTTACTGCTGCCGAACGCGAAAAATTGGAAGAAATGAGAGCTCCACTTTGGGAAAAGATCCTTAGGAAGAACATTGCCACAATAGGCTTTGCATTTATCATATTTTTCTATACTTGTCTTAAACCAATTCTCGAAAATATCATTCCTGAAGGCAATAATGTCAGACTTTTCAACAAATTCAAACCAGGTGATTTACTCAAGTACAGAATCTTCATGTCAACATACAAAGATCTCAAACTTGACAGACCAAATTCATACAGATTCATTTATGAATCCCCAGAATTCAATTATAGTCTGAAACATTTCACCCAACACCTTGGAGACCTTAATTACACAGTTACTATCAATCCCAAGATCTTATCCAATAAAACCGAGAGATATTGGGTTGTAGAAGTTTCTCCTGTCGACTGCAATTTCCAAGAAGGTCCAGTTAATGGCAAAGATTGCGTCAAGTCCTACCACGTTGCTCCAATCATCCGCTGGGAGACTCCTGCCAAGAAAGAAGGCCGTAAACTTCTTGATTTCAATAGGAAGAAAGAACCCGAAGTAAAACAAGAAGATGACATCTATTCTAACACGACATTACGTCCATTTACTTATCCAAACAATACCTTCGATATAGTTTTCATTAAAGATTACATCAGAATCTCAGATATCGCATATCATAATTACAAGCACATTAGAGCCAGCGAACAGTTCCAAATCTTAATCCCACCAACCACCGAAAATTACTACCTCCATATTCCTAACTCTCGTCTCTGGCTGAACGAATCTGAGACAAAAGATATCGAATACCATCTTTCCTTCCAGTTGAAGAGTTTCTTTGCTTGGGATTATCCATTAGACCAAGAAGTCGGTCAGGATAACAAGGTTCTTCTCAAAGTTTGGACCGATATCAAAACCGCTCATATTGAAAACCCAGCATGGTTCTTCTGGGGCTATATCTTCCTTGCCGTTACCCGTAACATTGTAAAACTCATCACATTCAAGGAAGAATTCGATTTCTGGATAGATGTCAAGAATGTCCGAGGAATTTCAGTTCACACCGTTGTATTTGACTTGTTTACAGATATCGTTGTAATGTTGTATCTTTACGATCAACACTCCAACATGCTTGATGTAATTTTGAAAGGATTTTCTATACTTTTGTCACTTTTCAAAGTATTCAAATTACTTACACCAATTATGGACTGGCCATACTTCAAATGGAACGGCGGCGAAGACGATCCAGACACATTGACATTCGATAATGAAGTTGGCAAGTATATTAACAAAGGATTGATTCCTTTATTCATAGGAACATTGATTTATCAACTTATTTTCAGTGAATTCAAATCATGGATGTCATTTATCATTCAAGGATTCTTTAGTTTTGTTTCTTTGTTTGGTTTCGTAAGATTATTCCCACAGTTGTATATTAACTACAAACTGAAGTCTGTTGCAGGTATTTCATTCACTGTTTTGGTCTACAAATGCATTGGTACTTTCATTGATGATTTATACGCAATATTAATGAATTTGCCAACATTGTATAAGATTACTTGTTTCAGAGATGATATAACATTCTTTATTTGGGTATTCCAATGCTGTATTTATAAGATTGATAATACTAGATCTAATGAATACGGTGAAATCCTTGCGAAATTGAAGGAAGAAGAGGAAGACGAAGCTGAAGAAGAGATGAAAAAGATTAAGAAAGAAGTTAAAATAGAAGATATTGATGATAGTGAGGATGATGAATTACAAATGAGAACTCAGAAAGAAAAGAAAGATAACTTTTAAAATTATTAATAAAATTAATGTTAAAATTAGATGAAATTTTATTATTATTTATTTTATTTGTGTCAAATAGTTATACAAATTAATATCAAAGCCATGATAAAGCAAAATTAAATCTAATTTTTGATAAAACGTTTCCAAATTGGGAGGGTTCATATTATCTGACGGGTTTAAATTGGGTTTTGAGGGCATTTGTAAATATTATCGTACTCATTTGTGAGAATTGGAGGTTTGTATATTAATGTTTTATATAACATTTTTGCATTGTGTCAAAATAAGGTAGCTGATTATAAAAATGTCTCAAAGGGATTTTATTGTTTTTGTGTGCATTTGAAAATCCATCATTAGATCGGCATCTGAACCAGTCATCAATTTTTGAAGCCGAAAAATTTGGAAACGTTATAGCACAACGTATATATCTAAGTTAAATATTCTTTTGATGAGTTGAATCTTACGTGAATCAATTATATTATAATCATGAGAGATGTTGATGGATGAATTTTTCTTTACATTGCAGAAATACTGATTCTCCTACAAATGTAACAGAATAAATCAAGAATTAAACAACTTCTTTTGTGTATACATGATAGCTAGAATGTAAAACAAAGGTACATTCACTATTTTTGACAAAATTTTAAATTTTCATGGGGTTGTAAATCTTATAATAACTAGATGAATAAGGAATGAATCCCAGTATAATGTGCATCATTATATTAAACACTATATGTAAGGCTAATGATTCTATTAACACTTATGAAGATCTATAGTATTTGAGCAGATAAGTTTGATAATTTCCAAAACTCTTATATTTCAAAATTAAAGTGTGCGAATGCATTTAAATGAGAGCAAAAAGAGATTGATGCTGTTAAAACTAGGTGTTAATTTGCAATTATTTCGCATCACAAGAACTACCCAGTAAATTCGGCTCTCTTTCTTTGCAATTATTCTCCATTATACCTATAATATAATGGTTAGGGTTTGAAGAAAAGTTACTAGAGAATTATTGACTTTTGAAATAATGCAGAATTTTACTTGAAGAAATCATTAATTTATGAGTTCCAAATTGCTAAGCATGACGAAGGATCATTAAATTTGCTACAATTAAATACATTTATTGCAGAATTAAGATTTTTGAAATTAAAAGTTTGAAATATTGCCTTTTTGAATAAAAATTTAAATTTTATTATATAATCATGATAATATCTTATAGAAATTAAAAGAAAATATTTTAAACCATTCAAATATTTTGAATGTCTTATCAATTTAAAATATTAAAAGATAGCTTGATTTTATCATCATTAGTTGTTATCAAAGTTTTCTTCTTTTGATGAACAACAGTAAATGATTTGTTAATAGCTTGTCTTCCTTTTTTGCACCAAATTCAAAATTCTCACCCGATCAGTAATCGAAAATTTTGTAGCATACGATTATTTTCCATTGAAAAATTATCACTAAAAAACTTTAAAAAATTAACTTTTATTCTTAATTTCATGTATGAAGAAGGTAGGAAATGACTTTAAGATTGACATCCTATTCATGGCTAAAGTTTTAGGAACTTTGAAGCCTAATTTGATATTGAAATTTTGGAAGATCAATGAATATGGGGATAAAAGTTGCATATCCTTGGCCATTAAGAGGACATGTTATGAGAGTGGATAGCGTTCGACGATTCACTGAAAAAGTTACTCCTCGAAAAGACTATCTAAAGCCATCAAGTTTTTTGAATATTTTCTATCGTCTTTTTATTTTTAGTAAATTAGGATGCTCATTAAACAGTATGATTAAATATACAAAAATTTTTAATTTATTTTTCAAGGGAAAATAATCGTATGCTACAAAATTCTTTCGATTCATCATTCAATTGAGAATGATAATTTTGTAGCATTTTTCTAAAAAACGCTACAAAATTATTAAGTTATGATGATAATCTTGCACTCAATTTTGAAACTCTCTGATTTACAAATAAGCATTCCTTTGGAAAAGCAGTCCTATTATGATTCAAGATATTTTAAAGCCCCCATTTCATACAATGCGCAGATATATTCGAAATTGCAAGAACTCTCAAGAAAAATGCAGCAGCAAAGAAGATTCCATAGTTTCTAGCATCAAAAATTTACAACCTTAATACAACAGTTAAAGAGAAGCTCGAAAAGAAAATAATTAACCATAAAGCTGGAAACCATTCGATATATACTATTAGATCTAATAAAAAGTTAATTATAACATATTTTACATGCTATTTGTTGACTCTGTTCCATTATATTACCATATATATCTTTTTGAAATCTAAAATATTTTTACGATTTTAACCATGTGTTGTTGAAACCATATATCAATCTTAGCTAAAGTATAGTTTATGAATTTGTCACCATCTAACGTATGAATTTTCAAAAATGTCAAATATGTTCATTTTTTCTGTATATTCAGCCATAATTTCACGTTGTTATACTATTCAACTATTATTTAATATTTTTATCGATTTAAATATATGATGAGATGCTTAGTTCTCCCGGAAATCGATTTTTAATCGCAATTTTAACTTTCCAAAAAAAATTCAAAAATAAAAATCCCTCTCAATTTTCTAAGTTTTCTAACTCGCCAAATCTCTAGCCAAATTTTTTTGGCCCGTATAAATATTGTTAGGCACTATATAGGGATGCTATTTATCCTATTTTCATCCCATTTTACTGTTATCGCCTAGTGAATGTACCTTTTGTAAAACAAATGTTCAGATACAGAGAAAATAATACAATTTGTCACTTTTTGAAATATATTTTATAAACTCAATTTGATCCATCAAGTTATTCAATATATTTTAGTCATGAATGGAACAAATTTTATGCAGGAGATCTTTCAAATACGCCATACGAAAACAATAGTTCAAAACTTTCACCAGGTGATCAAAATTACTACGTAAAGAGTTGCCTTTTTTCCGAGAATATTGACTCAGGTGCCATTAATTTTGCAACTAAACAATATACAACAAAACTATTAGTTGACGAAACCCAATTTTTAAATTGTAGTAACTCCAATTCTGGAGGAAGTTTGTACTTCTCCACAGAAGGCGAATGTGTCCAAGATCGAATAATAAGTGACTCATCAAAAGTAACATCAAACTATTATGGAGTTTATTGTTATTCAGATGTTTCAGATCAAGAATCATTCCAAAACAAAATCCTTTCTTCTTCAATCACTAAAAGTGGAGAAAATAACTTAGGATATAATAATATTTACCTAAAAAATGGAAAAATTAATTTTACTAATTCAAATATTTCTCATTCAAAATGCAATTATTTTAGTGCTTCTTATTTTGATAGTTATTTATCAGATTCAAAAGTTTTATTTTCTATATTTTATGATAATAAAGATAAACCTCCAGGTGGTTCTGCCTCTGTTAACCTTTATAATTCACCATCATCAAATATTCTATTCGAAGCAACAAATTTCCAAAATATTACTAATTATTTTTTAGTTTATGCATATTATTCTCCAACAAATATAACAAAATGTTGTTTCTCAAATAACAATATTTCTAATTATTATTTCTATGGATCTAGTGCCAAAATTACAGTTGATAGATGTTTCATTGATGTAAGTCCAATTAAAGAAGGAGCAGTTGAAATAACTAACGAAATCAAAGATACATCTAACATAGATATTTGTAAAACATACTATGAACTCGAATATCAAATTCTTGATATCAATAAAAATAAAGATAAAAATAAATTTAACACAGAATATTTTGAAAATATTGGCAAAGCTCCAAAATATAATAATTTTTCAAGCATTTCTACAAATTTAATAAACTTCACATTAAACACATAGGTTTTTCGTATATGATTTCATTCTTTATTACTAATTCAAGTTTCTAATGGATTTTTTAATGCTAGAAACTAAGCATGAAAACAGAGGCCAGCATGGGATCTCTTCTAGGGTCATTCAAATATCACAACTTGAAGATTATTCAAATCTGTAATAAATCTTCAATGATAGCTAATAAAATGAAAAAGAATAATTGAAAATCAATTCAACATGATTTTAAAACAATCCGAACATTAAAATTCGGTAATTCCAAGTGACCATAGTAGTATATGTTGAAGGGTTGTGTGATTTTTTTTGTTACGTCTATATATAGATGAAGGTATATTTTCACATCTTCTATATATAGATGATATAAAAATTTTTTCTTACGTTTTTTAAGTCATGAATTCGTAAGAAAGCGCGACATTATTAAATAAATTAGTAATAAATATTATATACTAAACACATTTTAAAAAATTAACATTAATTTTAAAATAATTTATTTTTTATCTTTTATAAAAGAAGCTATATATAGATGATGTCAGATATTCCACGATTAATTAAACATTGTTTAAATCATGAATGGGTTAAACTTCAATTTAAAAATGAAGATTGTGAATTATTAAATGAATATGAAAGCCAAAATAAGCTAATGAGGTATAAATATAATGATAAAGAATATTTAATTTCATGAAATCAATGGAGTCATAATCAAAGACCTCATAAACGAGAAAAAGAAATTAGAAACTAATGATTATTTGAATTTATGAAATCAATTATTTGATTCATTCTTTCTTCAATCTCTTCTATTCTTTTTGTTAAATCATCAATTTTCATTAATGATGTGATTCTTGATTGAGGAATAGATTTCAAACTAACCACCCCCTTTATTTTTGAAATTTTGAATCCATCAACTTTAAACATTTTATTCAATTTACACGTTGTCAATTCTTCAAATAATTTTTTATTATTGGTATAATAGTCATTAAATTCTTCAACAGATGAAAAAATTTTTATTTCAGTAATTGGTTTAACAACGTTTATTTTTTGTTGAACATTTACACTTTCATTTATTTCTTCCTCCTCTGTTCCGTTTATTTTTAAAATCGGTTTCATTTATCATTAAATAAAAATTAGAATATAAGTGATGAAAATGAATTTTTAATTAATGTTAAATCAGAAATGGCGGCAGGATTCTTTAA